CCCCCCTCACGGTTTCATTTTGCTGAACCATGATCAATCATATTTTAAAAAGACTATTACCATCGTTTTCAGCGTAAAAAATTACATAGATATGAAAAATTTTCTATGTATCTCGAGTGCAAAGCTCGTACCATTAAAAAGTCACTTACTGTGTATAGGGCTCCAAGTGCAACCCGTTTGGCCAGTGCTCCTATAGAGATCCCATACCAATTTTTTCACCAAATTATAGACCAAAGTTGGCTCTATCAGGGCCAACTAGTTCGCGGGTCAGGCACCCGGTATTTTTCCGGCACATCACAGCCGAAAACTGCGATTTTCATGGATCTACTACTAGCAAAAAGTTCACTTTGGACTGCTGAAAATGTTTTTGGTAATAGTCACAAGTGAGATCTTTCTACCATACAAATTTCAAAACTGTATCATGCACCTATCGTTAGATATTACACCACAAAAATTGCTAAAAACTGCATTTTTTTCTCAAAAAGTGGGTCCTACAGAAATACAATAAGAGACAGATTGATCTGAAATTTTTTGTGGAATTAGCGTACATATATCTAGAATTATATAGAAAATTTCAGCTGAATCTGTTGATTTTTTCTTGAGATATAATCGTAACAAAATACCAAGATTTTTTTGCGGTAGAAATTAGAGCTTTTCGTAAAAATTGAATAAAAAATGATAGGTTCAATATTTTTCGATGCGGTTTGCGCAGAAGTTCATCGAATACTCTCCTCTATCACATATATCAAAATGAGTAAAATCTGTGACATACAATTGAGCACGGTCCGTCGTGGGTTACATGCAATGGCTCATAAAACATAAATGACAACAGAAACTACGTTCATTTCTCCATCAGAATATATATCAACTATTGTATTTCCTGTAATTTCAAATAGAAAGGTGAAGAAAAGACAGTATTTAATTTAAAAAATTTGTTTCTTTTCAGGACAAGTTAACGAATAATTAAAAGGAATCGATAGCTAAAACTTGTTTCGGATCATGTTTATCGATATGTAACATCCGTTACTTGAACATGAGCAAACCGTAATTGAGATAGTTCAAAGAAATTTGAGGTTGTTATATTTGTCTCTATCTATTCTCAAGTTATTTTATATGATTTCGGTTTCAGTTATCGAAAGTTCATTAATACGAAATCAGATGGTTCTATTCATTTAAATCAATCTTTTGAGCATCTCCAATACCAAATCGTAGTTTATTGTGAAACATATACAAATCTTATTCAAATCTTCTACTTCATATTTTTAGTTGTGATTTTATAAAGTTCATTCACAAAAGTTAATCAATTAAATGCAATCAAACGTTTATTGATCAAATCTCAGGTCAAATTTGATCTATATACAATTTCTAGAATCCAAGTCATTCAAATAGAATTTCGGTAATGAAATATTAGACGCTCCTCTTTATAAAACATTTATAATACATCAGAATATTTATTCTTAAAACAATACATCTACGAAAAAAATGTCAACATTCATAACAAGAAAGTGATTTATTTTATCAAATATCCATTTTCTCTTACATAAAATATTCTTTTCTACTGCGAAATATTAGAAAACAGATGGAGAAAAAAATCAAATGAAAGTTCATTAGAAAAGAAGAAAAAAGAGGAATAACAACATTTTTCAGTCATTGACAATTTTGACTATTGAAAAAAGATATCTTATGGTTCTTTTCGCTATCGACGGTATCGGTCAAATCGAACAAATGAGCATTCATATATATATGGAAATATTGGTTCGTGAGAGAGAATCGATAGAATTTATTGCATATAACAATGAACCAGTCATACGCTCAATTACAAGATTTACCTGATGAACTTCTTATATTTATTTTCAAACAAATGCACAATGTTGAAGTTCTTTATTCTTTATTTGGTGTCAATGAACGGTTGAATTCAATTCTACTAGATCCAATTTTTACAAATTGTTTGAATTTCTTGAAATGGTCTTCGAAGAACTTTCTCAATATATATTCCCTTGATATTATATTTGATCGATTCTGTTTACAAATTTTACCTGCCGTTCATGAGAAAATCCAATGGCTTGATGTTGAATCATCTTCTATGAAACGAATTCTATGTGCTGCTGATTATCCTAATTTACATGGACTCGGTCTATTCAATATCGAAGAAGAAACAATTAAAAGTCTTTTCATTGGTGAGAAAATCTCTAAATCCAATAGTAATAATCGAAAATAAATGAATGATTGATTAAAATTAACATGACCATTGCCTGTTAATAATACTATTTCTATTCTTAGATATAAATCTTTCATCTGGTCTTTTTCAAAATCAAATTACCAAACTCCTGATTACAATTGATTCTGATCAGTATCAGAAACATGATTCAACAATGGAATACATATGCAATCACATTTTTAGTGTATTTAAGAAGTTAACTCATTTAATATTTTCGGAATCATCATATCAAAATATCGTTACGTTACCATTTTATCCACCGATCAATTTTTGTTCTCCATCTCTTGTATTATTGAATATTAAGATTGATCTTTTTGTTACATGTTTGTGTCTACTGGATGGTCGTTTTAGTCAACTTCACACCCTCATTGTTGAGTCAGCCAATATTTCAGCATCGGGAAAAATTGAAAATCAAGTTAGTTTTTGTTACAAGAAAGGAATATTGAATCTGCTTTCTTCTTTTCTAGTGTGATTTACCAAGTCTAAAGTATTTTTCCTTGTCTTGTTATCGGCCAATAAGCGATTACGATGAAGTGGTTCTTCCATGTCTTTATCGAATGTCAAATTTAGAAACACTCAATTTATATCTTTCGATTTTAGTTGAAGAAATATTCATTGATGGAAACAATTTGAAAAGCAAAATTATTAATCATATGCCACAATTAAATAAATTCACGTTTTATATTCGTTAGCTTATGAGAATTAAAAATGAAATAATTTTACCATCGAAAGAATATATTCAAAAACCGTTCAAAAACTTTCCACATGCACAAATAATATGTTATATGGATCGTTTTCTAGACAGAGGGGAATGCCAATATCACATATTTACATATCCGTCTCAAATCTCATATTATCAATATTTGTCAAATCAATTTCCGGGTGGATATTATCCATATGTTCGCATGGTATCATTATTTGATGAATATCCTTTTGAACATGAATTTTTTCTTCAAATAACTCAATCGTTTCCATTTATAGAAAAATTAGTTTTAATTAATCGGGAACCACAGAAACACAAACAATCTTCTAAATCAGAGAATGATAATTGTCACTTATCAATTGTTAAATATTCTCATCTTATTGAACTTAACATTGAACGGGTTTATGATGATTACGTTGAAGAATTTCTCAGTGAAACAAAAACATTTTTTCAAAATAATATTCGTCTTCGTATTGCTAGTAACGCTTTATTAAGAGTAACAAAAAATTTTACAAGGAAAGATACTCGAATGAATTGTATCAAAGTAGAAGATTTATTACCGTGGGGTGAATTTAGATCTTCGAAATCTTTTCAAGAATATTTTCTTTCAATAAAAGAAAGTGGCTATATTACTTCATTTTTTATATAAAATAAGTTAATATTGTATTAAAATAAAAAAACAGTTGAAGTACTGAATGAAAGAAAAGCATGAAAGTTGACTTGAATATGATTTGTTAGAAAGCGATATTTATTGAAAGACGGAAATGTCGAAATAAGACGATGAGATGCGTAGATTGGGTGGGTATACGGGTTGTGTAAAAGAAAGCATGTCAATACGCACCTTCAATTCCAGTCTATTTCAAAAACCAGAATTAGGAATGGACCTGTGAAGTATAAAAAATAATAAAGCAACAATGGCGATGTAAGAAAATCACTGTTGGAGTAAGTATGACCATTATCTCATCCACCATCAAGGGTTCAGGGTGTGGGTTTGAGTGTATTATTCAATGGACAGATTCATAGCCACATCCATATCCGCACCCCACACCCATGCCAACTGTATTAATAAGTTTAAGCAAACTATATTAATATTTTCTTAGCTGACTGAGATTGTTGTGCGTTATATAAGTGTGTACCTTATGACTATTACATTAATCTCTTACGAAAACTAATCGACTATTAATGTGTATATTGTCTCCTAACCAACCAAGAAGTATTGGCTCTATTGTACTTGACCAGTGAACAGAAGAATATTTTTAAACGTTTCAGAAATCAGACTGAGAAATAAAACTTTTAGCAATTCCTCTAAAAATATCTGAACTATTGCTGAAAGTTATTAAAACAAATCTTAGATTTATAAATAAAAATAATCGGAGAAATTTTTCGCAGGCATCTCTAAACGTACTACTAGTTGTTACCGAATATTGTTCTTAAGCTGCAAATTTTCTGGGATCCAATAGAGTAAGTCAGTGAAAACAAGATGTCTACGATTATTGTACGAAAGTTTCGCCTCAAATAAAGACTTAATGAATTTTTAAGTCAACATCAGATCTGCCTCTCAGTATATGTGATCAAAATAAAACCGAAAATACCCAAATACACAAAATTGACTAATACTACTTAAGTTCGAAATGAAACATTAACTTAATAAATATCTCAATGCTACATTACATCTATTTCGACGATGTTTATGCCCTAATAAATTCGTTTCACTATATCAAGACTAGCTTTCAACTTTGAAAAGCAAAGTCATTACTAATACTTCAGAGATATGAATCACTGCTGAGTAATCCGAGCTTGATGATCAATGAGATCTTGTTTATCATATTACAACCTAATAACATATTCAATAAACAAATGCTAATCTCTTTACTGATCCACTTTATGAGGGGAAGACTGGCCGTAAAATGTTAGAGAGAAGACAAAATTACTTTTGACCTATCGTAATAAGTGTAAAATATTATATTAATTGCAGTTTTAATGAAATTCACTTGAAAAATAGTCATTTCAAGCTTGTATTTAATCTTATACTGAGACAAAACAGACAAAACTACATTTGAAAATATAAAATCGATTTTGAAAATGCTTTAGAATTATTCAACTCATCATTGTGAACAATTTTGCTGTTGAGTACACCTTAAAATTCCTTCTGGGTCTGCTAAAATTTGAGTTTTTGTCTGTCTAGCAAAGTCTTCTGAGATTACAAATTCACTCCACATGGGGTAAATCTATAATCAAAAAGCAGTGCTCAAAGAACACCTTGCGGATAGGTGTACTCGCAAGATTTTGATAAATGAATCTCACTAATCGATAGAGAAAATATTCAGCTAGGTGTCTTGTGAAATAAATTTTTTGAAAAAATGGAAAATAAAAAAGTTATAGATATTTTGCTGAAGCCCATTGATTTTTTCTATATATTTACCCTCGGTTAGCCTATTCATTTATAAGCAAACTTGACTGTTATCAGCGGGCACAATATTCAACATCGAGCTATTTAATATTGTCATTGTTGATGACGTCAGGTATGATACAGAATGAGCATAAAGATATAGATATATATCAGATTGCATACGCAATATTTGCCATTTATAATTGAATATGCACCATTTAACGGTTAATGTCCTTAGTTTATGCAATGAGATGTTGCTTGCTATTTTCAACAAACTCAATAATATTGATGTACGTATTATATTCACTCACAGGAGTCAATCGAAAACTCGATAGATTTACTTGAGGCATTACTTTTACACAATATGTTGATTTAGTGACAATATCATCACATGAACATAACAACTCAAGAAATAAGTCAATACTGGATCGATTTTATTTTGATATAATACCTCGAATTCAACATAATATTGAATGTTTTACTCTTGATTCATAACTATTATAAACTCCATAAGCTTATTCTTGTTAGTATTCAACTTGAAGTGGTGTCACGTATCTTTAATGGTATGTTGTCCACTTTTTTTTTCATGCTTTAAAACAATAGAGAAAAGCAAGTCAATTAATTAATGTGTTGTGTATATTTAGACAAGTCATCAATTATTGACATATTTAAACATCAAATTTCACATCTTACTCTTACGATTAATGATGATATAGTACAGGTGAACATATAAAGGAATTATTCACCAATGTTTTCACCGCTATTTTGATAACGTTTACAAATTTGACTTATCTTCATATCGATTTACAAGGCATTTGCCGGTATTTAGCAACACCACTTATTGATTTACTAACTACAACATGTTATTCATCACGTATTGTTCATTTGAATGTTAGAGTGCACGACTTTGATTAGTCGAAGTTGATTACATTTATAATACATCAATGATTATCAATTATACGGTACAATATTTTAAATCACAGTGAAATGCTTTATTCATGTCGATTTTCGATAGATTGATGAATCACTTGTATGAGTGGAAAAAGTGTGGTAAAAGTATGAATAAATATAAAAACACGAAGTTTATTTTATTGAATGTGAAAGCAGTGGCTAGAAACTTTTTTTCAATGAATTTGACATTATTCGAGAGAAAGAGAAAACTCAAGGTATTAGAAGAAATATTTCATTGTAAGAGTATATAAGTCTAATATTGTCGTTCGTCATCTTCAATTAATTTCAAAGAGTTTGCTGACATTTGGTTTCATCAAGAAAATAATTTAATCAATGTTTGTATGAGAGCAAACTATTTTGATTTTTTCTTTCTATTTTACGAAGTTTTGAAATCGCTTTTTGTCGAAAAAAGATTATGTAATTGTCAATATTATTAAAGACTTGACATTGTATTACTGTTATAGATACTGAAAAAACTTAGCAAATCAAGAAATGAAGTATTGAATGATAAAAAATATCTTTCTAATAATTAATTCTGAAACTTTAATCTTATGATAAATGATTTTGGGTGGGTGTGGGTATTATTGTCTTTTCTCTTCAGTCACAGACTCACACCCGCACCCACACTCTCTGCCAACAATTTGTTATTATAAAGATATTAAAAAGAGTGGTTAATACTCATGAGATGAACTTTCTATTGGTATTTAAGGGTTCGTTCTTTGACGACTTGAATTATTTTCTTACTTATAGTTGCGATAAACAAACCAACATTTGTATGATTTGGTTTCGTGAGTGATTTGCTCTGATGTTACAAGAAAATGCCTATCTACACGTGTTCTCATGTATTGTTAGGATAATATCTTTTAACAACTCCCAATTTCTATTGGACAATAGACAAAACGTAAAATAAGAAAGGAGTCTCTAGAAATTGGCATTTTGAAAAATATTTTTTAATAACGGCAGATTTGTCTGTGTTGCTGACAAGTAATATTCGATTTTAAATCATTCGGCAGAAAAAAAAATTATTGACTAGATAATACAAAAATATGTGTATACTGATTCGAAATTCCTTAATAATGAAAGCAAAACTATAACTCGTTCCTAATAAATATTCTTATTAGAAACAAGCATTGACTTACTAAATCTGATGATCATAAATTTAGGATTCTAGTTGTATCTTGCAAGCATCGACATAAAACATTTCGCGTAAAAGCAACAAGAAATGAAACAATGTCTACGATTTGTCTTAAATGAAAACAAATTAATCGAAAAAACTATAGTTTGCACTGTTCCTGTATTTAGCTCAAAAATGCTATCAGATGAAAGAAACTATTTTGATAAAGACTCTAACTTCAATTGAAATATGGATAAATCCTGGATATCACTGAGCACAGTGCCAATGATTCATCGCATGCTTTCCTCTCAACTTAGTTTTTTTATATTCTTAAAATAATTTTGATTTGAAAAACGAATCATCGTTCTCAAAACTATCTGAAGTGGACATTCAAGAAAGTGATTCCTACGATAAAGTAATCCTTATTTATTACAGTGTTCGAGAGTTTACTTCATGATACTCATTAGAAAAAAACAGATTTTTCATCGAGAGAACAGAAATTCGTTTTCAGACACTTTAGTTATTAGTGTTGAATATGAATCCTTTTTGAAATTTTTTTCATACAATCATTATTCGATCTAAAGAGATAATGACTCATATTAGTTTTACAATTCCTGTTGCAAATTATCAGAGAGTATGATACTAGCTATCGGAATCGTTTTTTAACAATTGAACTTGGTGTTAACTGATGTATGGCCAACGATTCGATTGTCACTCACTTTACACAACTTCTATAAAAGAATCGAATACCATGCCCAAAAACAAGGCTTTTTGAAACTAGAACTTAGCCTTGTGTACTAGTTTATCTTAATAGGTATAGCTGCATATTTTCGATCAAACTGTAGGATTGTAACGCTTCTATTGACAATTTCAGAAATTTCAGATTTGAACGTAGAATAATAAATCCATCAAACCTAACGATAGAATAATCTATACTTAGTTGTAGAATACTGAACGCTTCTTGATTTATTGCAGCACGATGTATTTTGTCATACCAACATCTACTATTGTAGTTTTCGTATCCTCTCACGCGCAGATATCTATCAACTCATAAGCACAATCGCAGGGTCACTAGATAAATCCACCATACCACATCGAATAATAAACACTTGAAGCGACGCAGAATTTAAGCTTTTTCCAGCTTCCAAAGTAGTGAACCGTTGTGTTAAAAATGTGACTTGCACTGCTAAAATGCGTGTAAAATAAACATTGCAATGGAAACATAAAATACTGAAACTTGAAATATTGATCATACAATTTTCCCACTATAATGCACTATTGATGCAATAAATAGTTTTTGACTCGTAATTCTTGAAGAATTAACGAAATCTCAATAAACGTTTTAAAAGTCGATGTGTTCTTCTCAAGTATAGAGGGAACTTATTATACAAGTGATTCCTATATTGTACACCAATCTACCCTCCATCAGAATTAGTACTGCTTCGCCGAATTTTATTTTCGCCGACTCCAACTTCGCCGAATAAAATCTTGACCGAAAAATATCGAATCAAATTTGATCCATTCTAGATATAGAATTTTATCCTAACTAACTACTTTAATAGTGACTTGATTAATTAACCCATCTGAGTTGGAAACCATCTGACTTGGTAACCATCTGAGTTGGTAGTCAACTGACTTGGTAACCATCTGAGTTGGTAACCATCTGAATTGGTAGCCAACTGAGTTGGTAACAAACTTAGCTGATAGCTAACACCCACACCCTCACCCTCACCCTCACCCTCACCCTCACCTACACCCTCAGCTACACCCTCGCCCTCGCCTACACCCTCAGCTACACCCTCACCCTCACCTACACCCACACCTACACCCATCAAGGTGCTCCTCATCACAATCTAATAGGCGTTTATATGTGCATAGTTATTGACATGCATGAGAAGAATGATTGATTTGCAAGAAATTGAATAATATTGATGTACTATAATCTTTAACAGGCGTTAATATGCGACTCAGTATTATTGCATATGATTTTTTTCTACTAGTTATTTTACATTGTTGAGATGGTCATGTTCAGAAATTTTTGATGAAATTTATCATAAAATCAAATGGCTAAATCTTATATCATTAGTCTATTGAGAGTATTCGTCATATTGTTGATTATACCACTTTGTATAAACGTGACTTTATACAAGAATGACGAAGAGACATTTAAAAGTTTGCTTATTGGTAAGAAAAGTTCTAATAATGATTATTTACATCATCAAAATATAGACCATTTGAGAATAAAAACGATGAAATATTATATATATATGTTTATATAAAACTGTTTTTAACTCAAAACTGTCATAGTGTGGGTGTGAGTAATAACATAATTCACACTCACACTCACGCGCACACCCACATCCAGGCAGGTAGAATGCAAATTTTAGACTAAATTTAGCACTTTCTACTTAGAAGATATCAAAATTCTACCACTTTCCTCACTCAATGGCCGGATATTTGAAAACGAAAGCACTTGAGAAATTTTATGAAGTCCACAGTCCTGCCTTTCAAAAGATTCAGCACTTTGACTGGCACTATGTCTGCATCCTTGGCAGATGATTATACATGAGGACTTCAGCTGACAATATGAATCTAGAACTAACAACTATATACTCTTGAGGATTTTCAATAGTTTCCAACTGATCGCTTTGATAGATATGGACAAAGAAAAAACTCGACGTAAAATAATGAGTTAACGTCAAGGAAATTTTCTTGACTGCTATACTACGTACAAATGTTCACTAATATGAAACTGAAATCAATATAAATAACTAATATTATAGGATTAAAACCAGGGGACAACTATAGATTGAAGTATTAGAGTGGGAGTGGGGTATATCTAAGAGATATTCTAAGAGGTTAGATCAAGACATCATTATGAAAGGATTGATATAGAATAAGGGCATAGAAAAAAGGGTCAGATATATTAAGGGGTTAGAAGAAGACCATTGTATTAGAAGATCGATATATATTAAGGGATTAGATTAAGATTTTGAAATGAGACGATAGATATAGTTTCGGGATTTCAATGAGTTGATAGAATATTGAGCTAGAATACGACGTCAGATATAGATTCATGAACCATTTTAGGATAGTAGCCGGTAGACTATCCCAAAGTTTTGAACTCTCGGAAACTTCTACTGCGTCTCTGGGATCAGGCTCTTTTTAGTTAATTTTAAGGGTTTTCGAGAGCTCGTAAATCCTTCCCCAGAAACCTATAAAGGGTTTCATATAGTGACAAACCCGGAAACCTTCTATAAGATTTCCAGAAAACGGAGTTCTTTTTAGAGTGTATAGCTTTTCTTATAATAATATAATCTTGTGATTTTGGATATCTAAAAGAGAACAATCAGGTATTCAAAATGTAAGTTAAATAAATACAATCAACTACCACTTCCAACAAATAATGATTACTTGCAATATCATAATAGACTCAATTCAACAATACTCTTCTTAAATAACTATGAGCAGCTAATTTTGTGAAGTCGTTCTGATTGACAGAAATTTTTTAATCAGCTAGAAATGGTGGTAATTCATAATCTTTTTGGAGTTTAATTTCCTTCTCTATTAATTGATCATCATTTTCTACATCGTCACAATGATTATTACTCGAATTAATTGTTTAACAAGATTACTATGAACTGATAAGTATCTTCAATGGAATGGTGATTATTATTTCAATTTGAATTCAAAAACAAATGAAAATTAAACGAGTTCAATAAATTAAATTAGTAAAACAAATTCATTCCGTCCTCAGACTTCAAGTGAACAATATCAAACGAAATTCTTCATCGCCGACAACTATCGTGCTATCACTCTATATTAATATATCGTGAAAAAAAAGAAAGGAAAAAAATGAGAAAAGATTCTGTTAAATATATCTTGTGAAACATATTTCCGAAAATGGTTCTGTCAAATTATTCTACATCGTTTTTGAAATTTGTTATTCTTACCGAACCTTTTAAAGTTCCGCATAACAGGACAGAACCTTTTCGATTCTATATAATCGATCATAGAACTTTCTACGGTTCAGAATTTAATAAACAGAACCTTCGATGGTTTAGTATTTCTTTACAGAACCTCTCTGGTTCAGTATAATGGGATAGATAATTTTCCATGGTTTAGCATTATTGGGCAGAACTATTGATAGTTTTTCAACTGCTACGCAGAACTTTAAATAGTTCTGTGAGGGTGTGGGTGTGGGTGTGGGGTGTGAGTGTGGTTTTTTTAATTCTCACATGTATGTACAGGCTCACACCCACACCCACACTCTGAATATGAACGAAAATATATTGGCAATACAGTAAACAGTTTTTATCTTTCATTATCGATATTTTTATACATGTATTGTGCCGCATGTTGAGTTTAAAACAAATATTTATTTAAGAAAACAAGCTTTTTATTAAACATGCGACCTCTTTCTGTTATTGAAATGGGTTACTCTATTTTTCAAAACGAATAACGACAAGCAAAATGATTCATTCCTTTTACTTTTCTTTTCTGTCATCACGTTTTTCAGTTTTCATTGATATAATAAATTAACTACAGTTACTGTATACAATGCCGGTAGGTTTATCCTATTGAGTTTATGATGGAAGTGAATTAAAAAGTAATTTAGAGTTTTAAGCATGATCTATATTAGTGAATCTTTTACAACATGATTTTATAAGTATTAGGGACGTCAGCGACATCACTAGACCCACTTTAACCATAAGTTCACGAAAGCATAATTTTATCCCGTTTAACTTTTATGCTGAAATATCTTGTTTATCGGTCACAATATTTAGTACACTAAGTATATTTAGGTCCCTCTGGGTGCTAAGAGCTCTTTAGTCCTTTTAGTTCATTTAGTGTCCTTTACTTCCTTTAGACCTTTTACTAAAATGGCTACGGGCTAAAAGGATAACTTGGGGGACTAAAAGTAAAACGGGATAAATGTAATTTCTCGCGGACACCTCCTAACAACTTTTCACTCTTAGTTTAGAACGTATAAATCTAATAAAAAATACTATCTTTAAAAATAAAAATGCAAACTTTCAAGTGTGTTGTCGTCGGCGATAAGTGAGTATTATTTACTATATTTCTACAATAGAAAAGTCTTTTATACTATCTGTACATCTTTAGTGCCGCTGATAAGACTCATTTATTAATATCCTTCGTAAATGATATATTTCCTGGTGAATATATACCAACAGTATTTGATAATTATTTTCATAATGTGACAGTTGATGGGAAATCTAGTACACTTGCCCTATTTGATACAGTAAAAAGATTGTTTTCTAATAGATTCCTCCTTGAATGGTTATCGTGTTTCAGGCTGGCCAAGAAGGTATGATGATTTATTGAGAAATTGATCTGAACATTTTTTTAATATTAATTGTTCTTGCATAGATTATGACCGTCTCCGTCCATTATCTTACAAAGATACTGTAAACCTAACTTCAATTACAAAATTACAGATGATCACTTGTGTTTTTATTATAGGATGTTTTTCTTATTTGCTTTTCTCTCATTGATCCAACTTCGTTCGAAAATGTTTACGTGAAAGTAACACATTATCTTGTTTTGAAATATGTTTTTATATCGATATATTGTTAATTGAGTGGTACCCTGAAGTCAAGCATCATCGTCCTCATACGCCAATTATATTAGTCGGTACAAAACTTGATTTACGTAATGATAAAAATGTCATTGAAAAACTCACAGTGAATAAACTTTTTAATAGTTTGCTTTTCTCTAGTTTTCGTTTGGATCTTTTAGGAAGAGAAATTAACGCCAATAACAAGCTTTCAAGGTGAAGCAATGCGTCGAAAAATTCGTGCATTTGGATATTTGGAATGTTCTGCATTAACAAAGCAAGGTCTGAAGACCGTATTTGACGAAGCAGCACGTGCTTGTCTATGTTCAAAACGAAAAAATTGAATTTACGGAAGGGCTGCCAGAAATGACTTTTTTTCCGAATCTATTCCTTCTATGCAAAACATTTATTTGTCAAAATTCTTTAGTTCTGGTGATATTTCAGTCAACTTACACTGACACCTGTACTCTAAAAAGAAATCGGTTTTCTACAGAACCTTAGAAGTTCCGTATTTCTCCAACGAACTATTTTAAGTTCCAGTGAGCGCAAATCGTTTCGTAATTTCCTTTCAGAATTTTTTTAACTTCAGCAGATTTCATAAGGTTTCGCAATTTTGCGACGAAACTCTTCGTCGGTTCCGAAAAGTGATTTGCGGTTTCGTACATCATGTACGAATCCTCTGATAGCTTCGAAAAATGGAAGAAGGTTTCGTCATATTCCGATGGAACCATTACTAGTTTCGTCATTGAAAGAAAGGCGTAGAATATTTTCTACGAAACGTTTGGTGGTTTTTTTGACAATCCAGAGATTTGGTATTATTTTTAAGGAACTTTTCGACGCTTTCTAGTCGGTATTAAGGCTTCGTAATATGTCGACGGAACTACTGATGGTTCCCTAAACTGTCGAAAGGTTTGGAATATTTTCTACAGAATGATCCAGAGATACAACCGGTCAGGTTTTTTCTTGACCGGACCGGCCCCCGGTCTGGCTCAACTCGACCGGACCGGACCGGCATGAGTCATCAGGTGATTTTCTCGTTGTGAATAAGCCACAAGTTCTACTGAATCATAGTAGTGACTTCACAAGATTCAGCTGACGAACAAGACACATTACTAAGTTATATTCATTTATATACATGGCATATTATGCGGACTAGTGGATAGAAAGTTACTAGTGCGCTTTCGAAATTATCGACAATCTTTTTTTTTAAGACGCTCTTGGTCAAAAAAAACGTGTCGATATCTAAAGCAAGCTGAAACTTTTTCTGTTCCATGAGTGTAGCGTATGCAAATGATCATCGAAATAATGGTTTATTATCTGAATGCAAAACTAACTGATTCGACATAGCACTTCAAAGAAAGCAGGTTAGAGATATTTCAGCTTTAAGACTCAGTGAATCTTAGTTTAGTTTGATTTTCTATGGGTAAGATTTATCCCATGTAGACCCCTCAAAATGGACTTCATACTAACAAAATATGAGAATGTAGTTCGTAGACGTTACTGGGAACCTCAATGGAGCTTACTTTACATGAAAAAAAAACTCTTATTTGTTTTTGCACCGAGAATCGTCAAAAATTACGGAGAAAATAAGAAAAAAACTATTGACCAGTTCGGACTGAAAAAAGTCGTTTTGACCGGCCGGTCTAGAATCTTCGACCGGACCGGACCGGCCGGTTGCCGTTACCGGTTGCATCACTGGAATGATCGATGGTTCCGTTGAAGATCTGAAGATCTTTTTGTGCTGAACTCTTCACCATTTTATTACCTAAGTCAAACTTTCGTATATTTTATACGAAACCACTGATAGTTTCGTTGACAATCTGAAGGTTTCATATTGTTTGTGCGGAACTTTTCAACATTTCCTGGTCAGCTTTGAGGTTTTGTAAGACATCGACGGAATCAATGTTGATTTCCGTCACCATCGAAATGTTTCGTATTATTTGTACCGAACCTTTGGACACTTTCTAATCTGCTTTAAGGTTTGGTAAAATGTCGACGAAAACAATGTTGCTTTCGTAGGCTATCTGAAGGTATCATACACTATAATTTTTTAAACTCTATTTTGTAGAAAATCGACTTTAAATAAGCTACACTATTTTCAAGAAAGTACAAATTCGTCACTAAATTCATATAGGGATTCCTAGAATATCCTGTGGGAGATGCGCCGACAGTTGGGCTCCCGACACTTGAGCCTCACAAGATTGAAATTTCATCGATTAAGTATAGAACACACGAAATTAATATAGGATCACTTAATTCACTGGAAAATATTGCACGAAAACATGCGAAATCTTTTAATGGCATTGATGACTGACTGATATATTTTTCGTGACTATGTCAATCATCTTTACAGAAATGAGCAAGTTTTTCGAATTATATTTCTTTGATTCACAAAGGTTTCATCATTCTTGCTATATTTTTCTATTATTATTAACAATGCCAATTGTAAAATCTTCGAAAACCTTGAGGGTGTGGGTGTATATTAAGCAAGAACTATACCCACACCCACACCCTCAAGATTACAACAATTAGTTTCTTCTTCTTATATAATAACAAGAGATATGTACTTCAAACGCGCAAGAGCTTTGTTTCATTTTTGATGTTGCTGTTAAATTTATTCAAATAAAATTATTTTTTTCTGTGAGGCTCAACTGTCGGGATTCATCTGTCGGGAGCTCAACTGTCTGGTCACCCCTGTGGGAATTCATATAGGTATTCTATTTTTTACAGTGTAGTTTTGCACTAAACTATTCACCAGTTTATTATCTATGTCAAAGTTTCCTATAGCTTATCGAGGTCTCCAAATCCAAGCCCGTTCTCAGTTTTTCTATCCGAGCTTCCATGACTGAGAAAATGCACCGATCAGGATTCGATAATTCACAAAGTAGATTTTTTATTTCAACTCCGTGCTCAATTCTAAGATGAGTTTGATCTGTGCAAGAAATATGTTTCTATATTATACATTCATTTATATGTACAATTTTAAGTAAACTTGATTTCAGAAAATTAGAAAATTTTGTTTTGTTTAATTATAGATTGCGTCATTGTTGCAATTTCGTGTCAGTTTGATCGTATATAAATTAATAAGTTTATTTAGTTTTTTGTTCTAGGTTGATGTAAATACACAGTTTTCGGTAAGTTTTATCTTAGAAAATCAAAATAATTCTTCGTTTTTTAATTCTAGGTTAATCTAGATATGGAATTTCACTAAGATTGATTCTATAAAATAAAATAAATGTCGTTATTTGTTTATTACAAAATTGATCCAAGTACAAACATAATTCAGTAAGGTTGATCTTATAAAATGGTTATATTTATTCATTTCTATATTATAGATTGTTTCAATTATGGAAATCATCGATGGATTTGGTTTTAACTTCCTGGTGCCGTCCGTGGTATGCATACTATTCGAGTATTTCTGAAACCCCAAGTATGGTATAAATCAATAAATCAAAAGTAAGTGGGCATAGTCTATAGAGTAATTTTTCTTCATTGATAGAGAAAATTACTGTATACACTATTCCCGCTCCCTTTTGATTTATTTGATCTATACCATACTTGGGTTTCTAGAAATACTGGAATAGTATGCATACCACGGACGGCACCAGAGGGTTAAAACGAAATTTTTGAGTAGGTAGACAATTGGAACAAGGTTTAATGCAAANGAATTAAGTTGTAAATAATTAGTCCATTTGATTAATTCATATTCATTTTCATCGACAATAGACATAACAAGGTTTAATGCAAATAGCTTTGTACGGAACCTTTTCTTAACGATTTTTGAGAGGTTTTGTACGAAACCATTGCTACGAAATCTGTTTTTAAATTATCGAAAAGGGGGTTGGTACAAAATCCATTTTTTTACGAAACTAAAAAAGGATCTTACCGTGTACCGAGGATAAGATCTTTTTTAGAGTGTATTTGACAAACAATTTTGTCTTTATCAAATTCATCATTTATATCAAAATTATTTTGATTTCGGTCTACAGTATCAGATCTGACCGTTCAGTTGAATATACTTTCTCTCAGTTCAAACAATAGTATTATTTTCATTTACAGGATGTCATAGTTGAGGTAATGCAATCAAATGAAAGTGATAATATTCAAAAATCTATAGAAGAATATTTGATATTATTGCAAAACAGAATCAATCAGAAACATAATATATTGAATGACTTTGTTCATTTACATCATATTGATTTAGTGAAAACAGTCAACTAAACCCCCCCGTATTAGAAGCCCCCTTTGGAAGGAGCAATATGNCAACATGGATGATGGTAATAATGATAGTACTTCTTCTAATGATGATCATACTGATGACGACGAACAAGATGATACTCGAAATTTAATAAATACGACGAAAGATGACTATGTTGGAATAAAAATCTTCAATACGGTTCAGACCCACATAGAACATTCTTATTTTTAAGTTACAATCAATGACGATATGAAATATATGCATAAACAAACTGCTTGTTGGTTATTAACCTGCGAAAAAAGTAAAATTTCAAACGATCGATTGCTTCGAGTACAGCAGACTAATAAAAAAAAGTGATTTTTTTCTTCTTTATGTACCATTTTCTTGAATTTTTCAATAAAATAAAGACCATTTACTGAGTCTGAAATTTTGGAATACATGAATGTGTTGAATACAAAAAAGAGAAAGATGGTCCATAATGGTCGCTGAATAAACACTAATAAATATTTCATATGAGAATACAGATGATACATACAAATAAAAAATAAAGAAATCAAATTTCTATCATGGATTTCTGAAGATAGGCAAGAATTTTACAAGAGTCCACTTGACTCCGCGTGAGTGGAGTCTGCTGTTTCCCCCTTGGAGGTTGAACTTTGGGTTTTATATTTTTATCAGCCCGCCTAAGGGGTTTATGAAAGTGCAACGTATAGCAAACCCTTTTAGGATTTATAAAATTTATCAATCCATTCATAAACCTTTCAGAATCAGTTTCAGCAAATCATAAACTCCATATTCATCCATTTTTTAGGATTTATGAAAGGGTTTATAAAGGTTTCATAAACCCTTTTTCGCTTTTTATTCTACGGATATTTTTTACAGTGTAGTCGTATTTTTTTATTCTCAAAAAAAGTGGGAGTAAAACTGTTGAGAGTGAGCATGAACAAGAAAAAATAAAAATACTATGCTGTTTACTGTGTGTGCTCATTTTGGAGTATGTACAAAACAGAATTTTCTATCAGCAGATAATCAGGCGAATATTAAGCAAAAAAGACCCAAATGAGTTTTCAAGGTTAGATTATTGAAATATGTAGGCTACATATAGTTCTGTTTGGACAGGAAAGGTTTTTCATTTAGTCTCTTAAGATGACTGAGAAAACTAAAGTCATTTCATGGCTGTATATAACGTGAGCGTAATTCAAAATGATAGCACTTTTTCAAAACCTAGTGGCTCCCATATCATACGAACGCAACATTTTTTGCTGATTGCGAATATCTCACTTGAAAAGCCTGGAAACGTATCTGAACAGAAGTAGAGACAAATCTTCCGGGTTTTTCGAGCTAAAAAGTATATAAATGGAATCAGCGCAAAATTCTACGTCGAAGGATGTATGAGCGTCAAGGTTTTGAAAAAGTGTTATCACTTTCAATTACGCCCACCTTATATACAGTGACAAAATGAGATTTGAGTCGAGAAATACGTATATGTTGTTGAGAAAACCTCTTAAATGTTAGAAATACAAATTAGTCAAAGTTTAACTTTGTGTTTTTAATTGAATCTGTCGATAAGCTTAAATTTTATCGAGTTACTTGACATTGAGAAAATGCTGCGAAATTTTATAATTCTTCATCCACTGCATATTTTCACTTTGCATTTGTTTGACAGTATAGAAAGAAACAAAAAATGTATAGCAATTACGTCTGTTATTCGAAGAACGCGAACATGATGCATGACACTTTTTTTTTCATCAGAATGAATAACATCCCATGATTCTTTCGTTTGTTGATGCTTATATTATGCGTCATTTTTCAATAACTTTCATCAGCCCTTTTCAAAAAACACAAAATAAGACAGTAATGATGATTGATTTGGCAATTTTTATGTAAGTAATAAATAGAACGCTCAAGCCGAAGTTTTATATCAAAAAATTGCGCTAGCTTTCATCAGACGCATGTTAGAAAGTGTATAATAAACGTTTTTTTGTTGTTTATTGAGAATAACTACACACATATTTTGCGACCCAATGACTGAGCTCTAGTTACACAGTCAAAATAAGACTTAGAGCAGTCTTCCTCTTTATACTTATTCCACAGATTTCATCGAAAATATAATTTTTCTTAGCTTTTATTTTAGATATCTGTCTGAGTAAAAAAATGGCGCGACGAGCAAGAGAAGCCAACACAACAGTAACTACTACACTCAACAACGATTTCAACCTTTCAGATGAAATATGGCAGTCCATCTTTTTGTCAATATCTTCCTTCAATAATCTCATTTACCTATCAATGGTTTGTCGTCGATTTCGAAAACTTATCCTGAACGAATGGTTTCTTAAGAAGTATTTTGTTGAACATCCAAAACTTTTTGAAAACCTGATAGTTTATTACAATTTTTCAAATGTCGCTCTAGGTCAAAATCCATTTTGTAACTCAATTAAAAGACTAAAACGTGGTCAATGTGATAACTGTATCAATAACCAGAGCGAAATAATAATTGAGAAAGATTCTTCTTTTGGTTATAGTTTAAAAACTGCTGGTGATTTCGTCAAGATTCGCAATGATTATGACCTTTTTCGGAGTCGAACGATACTTGAAACTTGTTCCTTCTCATTTTTCTTCTTTTTATGCAAGCGACCATCGAGCAAAGATAATAGTTGGCTAACGGTTACTTTGGATTTAATAGAAGATAGACCTCGACGGAGTAGACCTATTACTATTTATGTGAACGCAGAACAACATTTAGAATTTTCTGTCAACTACGCCTGTTGTATTCAAACCCAACACTCGAATTCGCCGAAATTGCAATTTGACATGTGGCACCACATTACAGTTCTAATCGCTCAAACGTCACCCGACGATACATCAATAGAACTGTACTTAAACAGTCAAAAGCTGGCAGATTATAAGCTTTCGAAACGTTTCCGCCCACCATATCATGATATTAGTATTGAAGCATCCGTTAGGGACACTCGTCTAGCTGAAATATGTATTTGGAAACGGAACCTTACGGTTAAAGAAATTAAAACAATTTTTGAACAACAGACAACTTTAAAGAGAGTCGATTTTGTAACGGATATTTTGAGTAGAATCCGATATTGAAAATCATTAACATGGTTCCTAACGAGGGAACATTCCCAAGTGATTCGCACCATTTGGTCTCATATTTTGCTCATAGATAGGATCCAATGAGACTAGGAAAAGGCTAAAATATTTCCTGCTCTTAGGCCTTTCCTTCGAAGTTATGGCTGCTTTAGCGAATTTTCGACCTTGCCCAAGGGATTTCTAGAAAAATTGAATAAAGGAATTCTGAGCTGAAATTTTGTCTAACAATAGGTCTCATTGGTGTTAGAAAATTGTAAAACTTTCAGTTAAAACTGATGCTTTCTTTTAGAGATATTGCAGATTGAAGAAAAGCCAATTTTAATATCATTTTTCGGACCACCCAAATGAATGAATCCGATCGGATCTTATATAATCCGCCGAGCCGACAAAGTTACACGGGATTCCGGGTTGAGGAACTACTGACGGATCCCTAGCGTTAGAATCCGGTAAACATCCGACCAAATCCAACAACCAAATTATATAGGAATTTCAGGAGCTGGATTCCAACGAGGTTCCTAAAGAAACCTATCGAATTGTGCGTCCTGAGCATGGCTGTTTTCTTCAATCGGCAATATCTCTAAAAGAAAGCATCAGTTTTAACTGAAAATGTTTTACAATTTTCTAACATCAATGAGATCTATTGTTAGACAAAATTTCAGATCAGAATTCCTTTATTCAATTTTTCTAGAAATCGCTTGGTTAAGGTCGAAAATTCACTAAAACGGTCGTAACTTCGAAGGAAAGGCCTAAGGGCATGAAATCTTTTAGGCTTTTTTTCGTCTCATTGGATCCTACCTATGAGCAAAATATGTGACCAAATGGTGCTAATCACTTGGGAATGTTCCCTCGTTAGAAAAACTTTATCTACAATTTGAAATCGATAGTTATAAAGAATTTATCGATGGAAATGATTTAAAAGAAAATATTACTAATTATATGTCACAATTAAATAACTTCACATTTAATATTCATGTCGTTAAGCATTCTCTTGATCTGTTGAATTTACCTTCAGATAAATATATTCAGCATACATTCAAAGATTTTACAGATAACCAAATAATTTCTTGTATTGATTATTTCCAAAAAAAGAGGATACAGTTACTTTCATACTTATTCGTATGCATATATAATGCATTATTATTTTAATATTACAAACAATTTTCCCGGTGGATTATTCAATGTATTCAAAGTATATCACCATATGACGAAAATCCATTTGAGTATGAAAGATTTAGCTGTAAGTAATGATAAACCAGAGAGAAATAAATTATCTAGAAAATGAAAGAAGATCGGCAATCAAGATTTATCAATTATTAAATGTTCTTATCTTATTCAACTGAATCTGTTTAAAGCTCATGATGATTATATCGAACAATTCCTACGAAATACTGATATGTGTTTGTCGAATAATATTGATATTTTTGTATGTTATTACGCTCTAAAAGAAGAGTTACGAAAAATTTCACAAGACACACAACACGAATCAATTGTGCAAAACTGTATGTCTATCTGGCAAATATGAAATTACTAAACATGGGACAGATTATTTGCCTCTGGCAATAATATCTTGATAAAATTGTAAATAATTATTAAAAAAAGAATACAAAAAAAAGTTAATTGATTTATATGAATAAACGAGACTGTGGGATTTGTCAAACAAATAGATTGAAAGGAGTCATGCAAAGATTTCTTTCTAACTTAATTGAATACGATTAGCTTTAGAAAAATCAACATGCAACATACTGTATTATCGATATGTTAATTGTATATGAAATTATGAAAATATAATTTAAACTTTGAAAGATCATTCTTATGCAATGACATTTCTACGTAAGTTTTTGCAGTATAATTTAATGATCTATCTATTTAGAAACAATCGATTAGAATCAATGGTTCGTATGAGTATGATGAACGAAGACAACCAAACTACAGAACATCACTTCAAATATGTGAATTAATTGCTCATAATTTAATTAAAAAATAGACCCATACAAGATACAACTAATTATTTTCGTTTAAAAATTGTTCAAATCGATTTTCTATATCATCATGATTATCATGAATGAAAATAAATCTTTGTTTTATTAATTCTAAAAATGTTTGTCGTTTATTATTAATCATTTCGGCATAAAGTTTTTTTTCATTTGCTATTTTAAATTTTTCATTCTGTAAAAATTCATTATTTAAATGTTTTGAAATAAATTTTCGTAGTTTTTGATCTATTTGATAAATCATATTTTGTTGATTAATTTCTGTTGCTCTACGACGTTGTTCATCGTCAATTATATTGACTAATTGTTGTTCTGGTTCATTGCAAGCTTGTTGAATACGTTGCAAAACTCGATGTAAATGTTCACTTGTTAAACCTCGATTTGTTGTATCAATCATAAGATCATCAGTTGATAAATCATATTTTGCAAAGATATTTTCTATGGAAACATTTGAAACACGTTTAGATATGTGACGCTTCGTATTTCGTTCAAGAGCAATAGTTAAATTTGAATGAAGATGTATTGATGCAAAACCTATTTTTACTCGTTGAGCTATTTGTCGATAACGATGGCGCATACTTGCATAATAAAAATTATCTTCAATAATAAGAATACTATCATTCGTTAAATGTTTCAATGATTGATAAAGACGATCAAGTATTTGTGAAGAGTATTTTAAATTTATAGAAGAATTCTTTTCTTGCACATTTGATAAAATATAATTTTCAATTTCATTTGCAATTAATAAACGATATAATTTCCAATTGGATTCATTTTCTATGATATCATTTTCATAGCCAAGAAATAGATCATCAAACGAAAGAAAATTGTAGAGACGCTTATTTTCGTTTTTGTTCTTAAATAAAATTTCTTGAACTTTTTTTATACAAAGAAATTTGAGATTTAAAATTTGATGATGACTAAAGATCAATTGAAGTATTTTAATAAGTGTTGATTTAAGACATGCTGGTGGCCCACATATTAGAACGATACATTTCATCATTAACATCTACAAAAATAAATAAATAATTTTTTCTTATTTACATAACATATCTTGTGTCTCTTTTTTTTTCAGGAAGAACGAGTAGAGAAAAAGAAACGTTGCTTAGAAGACCAAATCAACGAAATCGAGAACAAGAGAGGAAAAGGATCATAGAATTTTGTTGTTGTATTTTGACTTTGTTTCGGTTGAAAATGGATGATGCAAATGATTATGACAAATCTGCGTATGAAGCACCCGATGATGCCACATTATATGTCGAATGTGTTCGATTGGTTGAAGGTGGTAATATAAAACGATTTGAAAATGTTGTAACTAAAATAGATGTTATTCGATATGAATTAAGTGATGAAGTTAGTAAACCACTTCTATTTTATGCTATTGAACATAACGATGTGGCGTTTGTTAAAACATTGTTAGATATGGAAATACCATTGGATAGAAAGTATTCGGTAAGTTGATATTTTTTAGAATTTTAAATGAGTAAAAAACAAACGAATGTTGTTTTTTTGCTGTCGATTTATTAGTACAAAATGTTTACTTAGTAAACAATAATTAAAAATTCATATAGAAACGAAAAAACAGTTGCCAAGGATAAATAGGACATTAAGATGATGATTATACGTCAACTTGTTTAACTCTAATTAAAGTATAAAAAGATATTTAATTAAGAAAAAAAGGATAGATCTTGTTGATTTCAATTTTTTGTTGGTTGATTACAACAGTAACAGTAACAAAATACTTATCATCAAGGTTTTTTTATTGACTTCTAAGCAAAATGAATCGAAAAAAAAATTTTTGTTTTTCTTATCAGATCATGATAGCGTCAGCTGACTCTCCAGAAGGTCAACTTGTTCAAAAAAAGTTAACAGCTTACGAATATGCTTATGAATTACAATATGATAATCTTGCTGATCTAATTCAACGTCAAGCTAATCTTCCTCCATATGAACAACGTTTTTTTCGTATTCTCAAACTGAACGATAATCGCCGTTGTGAAACATTTCTTCGTCGATTAAATAATCAAAAACGAGAAAATGATTTTGCAAAAAGAGGTTTATTCTATGCTGCACAACTTGGTTCAGTAAGATTACTTGATCATTTTTTAACACGTTGGAAAATTGATATAAACACTCAATTAGAACAAGAAAATGGATATTCAACAACAGCTTTATTAACATCTATAAAATATAATCAAAGTGAAGCCGCAAAATTTTTACTATTTCGTCATGCTGATCCAAGTATAAAAGGTCAATATGATAATGCATTAGTTACTGCATTACATTATCAATCGAAAAATGGTCTTTTACGTTTATTACTTGATAAAAATGTTGATTTAACCGTTCGACATCCTGATTATAGAAAATTAAGTTTACGAGAATACTGTGTACTAACAAATCGTGTTAAAGCTAAAGCTGAAATTGATGCCTATATAATACGTTTGATTAGTAACGGAAATTATCAACGATTAAAATGGCTTGTTGATAATGGCTATACATTTATTAATGTTAATATTACTCAAAAACGTACTGGAAAACAATTAGCTAAAGAAAGATACTATGAAAATATTGTTAAATTAATCGATTTTGTTGAAAGTACACAAATGAAAGCAAAAATTAAAATGAACTATTAATAGATTTTATATTTCATCACATAAATGCTGATTTATTCGAATTTTTGTTTTCTTCATTTCATAAAATCTTAAAAGCCCTTTAAATACAGATTAGATGCATCTTACCAGAGTGATGTATTAAAAGAAAATACACACAAGTTCTGTGTAATAATCACTTGAAAATCTATTTTCGAAATTTTATAACCGAAGGGATTAAAATCAACAAAGAATTTTCGCATTAAAATTGGTGCCTATAAATAATTATGATTGTCACAAATCATCGGTACTACTCTCTCGGGTATATGCGTGGTTTCCAAAAATAAACAAACAACGCTAACGAGGAAACATCCCCCGGGTGTGTGCTTCCGATTTCAAGAATTTCTGATTCATAGATGCTACATAGTATTCTATTGAGGATGCTACAAGAATTCGAATATCTATTCAAACGAAACCGGATATTGTTAAATTTCGAATTTTTCTATTGATATGAGGAATACGTAACGACTTTTTTTAAAATATTTCCCAACAGTAAAAATAAAAATGAATAAAACATAAGTTAATGTTTTCTAGTTTACATATATTCATCATAGGCAAAAAAAACAGAAAACATTATTTTTCTTTTTTTATTCTTTTTGACGATAAATCACAAGTAGTATCGTCTTTGTCGTGTTTTCTTCTTGATGAATGTGGTGGTGTGCGTGATCGTTTTCTTTGATGCTCATAATCATCTTGTTTTCTATTCATAATACTTTTTATTCGTTGTTGTCGTTCTTGTTCATTTTTATTAATATTATGTACAGCATTTGAAATAAGTGTATTTCGTAGAAATTTTCTATTTGTAACCATAGTTGGTTTTTGCCATCCCAATGCCCCTTGTGTTTCAGCACGAATTTTATTTCTTTTAGCTTCTTCAATAAGCATTTGTCGTGCTAATCTATCCATTTCATCATCATCATCATCATCTTGATTTGTTGCAGAAGATTTTTCTTCAGTTTTATTTTTGGACATCTGAAAGAATAAATAAAAGAAAAAAAACGATATGACAATCTAGTCGCAAGTGATATTTTGATTCAAAGGTTAATGATTAATCGTGGCAAAGGTTAAATGAATAATAAATAAAGATCGATTTTCAAACAGTTGCTATATTCATCATAAGAAGAAGTTTTTTTTCGTGGTAATTGTTTTTTGTGTTCATTTTTATTTATATACAAAAAAAAGAAAAGAACAACGAACAAAATTGAATTAAATAAATAACTACTGCTTTTCACCTCGTACAAGATTTTTTAAATAACCGAAAGGACCACTTCCTCCTGTTCCTATCTGTTCATTGGATTCATTTTCATTCGTATTATTCGGTGTCTCAGGTGAACGTTTAAGTAATGATATTGGATTACTACTACGTAATGAAAAGGATGCTTTCTTTTTAACACGCTGGGAATTATTTGGAGATGTTGCATTAATTTGAATGTCTTGATCATGATTATTTGTTGTTGTAGCCGAAGCTGAATTGGTTCGATTTCGTTTCGTTGCTTCCGATCCAAAAGAAGATTTACGTGGTGTTGGTGATGTATCAATTTTTTTATACGTTGAACTTGAAGATTGTTCACTTGATAATGAATCTTCTTTTGAAGATTTTTTATTCGATACCCACGAACGAAATGAGCTCACAGGATTTTTTAATGAAAAACCACCGCTTGATGTTGAGTGAGGATTGTTATTAAGAGAATGTCTATTACTTATAGGTGACTTTTGACTAATTGCTATTGATTGTTCATCAGAAGTTTTATTATTAAATTTTAGTTCAATATGTTCAATATCATCATGATTATCACCGGGAATAGATTTGACAGTGGTCGAAGATGAATCAGATTTTGTTTCGATTATTGAATTCGATGATGAAGAAGGAGGTTGAGATGATACTGTAGTCAATGGAGTACTTGAATAGAAAAATTTTAAAGTGTCAAAAATAAAAATTTTCGTCGATGTATAACCTACTCGTCAGTTCCATCGACAAATTTTTCATCATCTTTTTGTATAACAAGCAAAGGTGTATGTGTCATTGATTCTCTTTCGGTTTTTGAGTCTAGTGATTGTTCTTCTTCACTATCAACGCTGTGTATATTTGAATCATCATCATCATCACCATCATCTTCGTTTATTGTTGTTGGTTGATTTTTATTTGCTAGACGTTGTTGTCGTTCAGCATCAGACCATGGTGGCATACGCTCATTTATTTGATCATAAGTTTTAGCTGTTGAAAATGAAAAATCAGTTGGCGCTTTTCGATGTTCTGTTGAATCGCTTTCGTCGTCACCAATTTCACTGAGACTTGCAGATGACGATGACGATGACGGTGATACAGGCGCAAGACCTTTTAAATTAATAACATTCTCACTTGCTTCACGTAATGATGCGTAAACTTTAGCCATTTTTCCAACGGCACGTATTTTTGAACGTATAGCCTCGCGACGAAATTGATTTTCATTATCACTTTGTTGATCAGACGATAAACCTGTTATAAGTTCTTCTTCACTACATATATTTAAGATATTAATTAACATCTCTGTAACTTTTTCACCCACAAATGGTAAAGACCATGTAAAAACATTCATAAAATTTGGTAACCAATATGGATGTGGTGAAGAATTAAATTGTCTTATATTAACTATATTTGTATCATACTTAAGTATAGCTGCTTTATTTTGATAGACATCAAGATAATTCGGTGCAGAAAATATTGTCATTAACGATGGAAAACCACTTTGTGGACATTTTCGATACATACGATAGCCAACATCTTGTGCTTCATGTGCACGTATAACAGTTAATAAAGAATTTCGCGCAAGAAAATCATTAACAGCTTTAAATGTATAAAAATATGAGCAGCCACGTGTTGCATTAAATAAATATTTTTCATCATAAGATTTTTCGTGACCATAATCTTCAACTGGATCACTCCATAATAGATCACACATGGCACCGTAAGGTGGGGGTTCTTTAAAACGATCTAATTTTTTTATATCATCTAAGGTATGAATTTCTGGTGAAAGACCACCTTAAAAATAAAGAAAAAATAAATCATTAGTTGTTGTTGTTGTTGTTCGTTGCAATAGATGCAGGTCATATGAAATTATTCATCTGGATAATTGAAGATATGAAGGTTAAACCCCTTTTCTCAAAAAAAAAAGGAAAATCTCCATTCGACCGGGCACTTTCAAATCCCATGAAAGGAAATGGGCGGAGAAGAGGATTTCTCCGCCCCCTTCAAACAGTGTGGTTTATTAGTTGAGCAGTAATCTACAGACAATTCATGATGATATTTTTAGAATTCAATTTACTGCCGCCATCCATATTTCCCTAGGTAATCTCCAAAAAAAAGTATTTTTTTTTTCGTAATCCGCGTAGATTATTACTTGTGTCGAAACGAGAACCGTAGGAATGTTATCAAGAATTATATTTGACTTGATTACAACAGAAGAAAAATGATCCTTTCTGAAGGCATTTTCAAAATGTATTCATTAAATAATTTATTTGGCAAGTCGACATTCTCTGAAGACCCGAATGCTATTAATATAATCACAGTTGTGTGCGAAAACGCATGTCAGATCACGATGCCTGACAAAGACCTTCTTTTCCTTAAATACATTCTATTTTCATGTGAATACAAACACAGACAAGTCTAAGATCTGGGAGGATTCTAAAAAAGAAAAAAAGTTGTCATCTATTTCTAGGAGTACTTTTTTTCCTTTTTTAAATGAAAAAAGGATGCGGCAGCTGGACAAGATCATCTAATCAAAAACAAAAGAAAATGATTGCTAATAATGAAACTCAGTCGAGATTTTTTTTGATGAGAACAACTTATTCTTTGAAAAGAATGCAATGGAAACCATTGAAAATTTTTCGAAGAAAGGAAACGATAAGCTAAATAAAACATCATGCCGTTTATAAGAGATCCGGCCTTCAGCTATTCTTCCATGCATTAATCTTAATTTCGTTAATTCTGACGACAAATGAACTTCTTTTGTTCTTCTGATAAGACGAAGTCTGGAATGAAAATTCGATTTTTGCTCAACTTTCTTTCTCTATCTAAACTCCATTTATTTTAACGTTTATTCTTTCACGCATTGATTAGCACAACAACAAAAAAAGAACAAGGCAATCTTTCGAAGATTCTGTCGGTCTTTTCACAGTTGTATACTTGTTTAAAAGCCTGTCACATCTATACACATGTTATTCATCTTAGAGTAACTAAATCAGCCTTTTCATTATAACGAACGAGAAGAAAGCCACAAAAATCTGATCTTTTTACAGATCTAATTATATTCAAGAGCGGTCGACAAGATTTCATGTAAACATATCTCTAGTTGACTAAATATAACTTATAGAGTATTCAAACGGCAATGTTTTTTTTTCAGATAATATCGAAGAAACAAAACAAAAAAAATCTCTTCTTAAACTTACCATGAACACAAAAAAATTGTTTATCAATAAGAGCCGCTAATGGTAAGCAATCAAATGCTTTCATACAAGCATCATAAACACGTTCAGTATACTTAATTTTACCTAAACGAACATAGTTCATTAGGAATTTATTTAAATATTTATGTTATACGAGAGCGACTTACATTCAGTTTTAAATGTAAAATATTCAGTTAAATGTCTACATTCATGATTACCACGAAGAAGAAAAAATGTTGCCGGATAATGAATTTTAAGTGCCCATAGGTATAAAACACATTCAATAGAAAAATAACCACGATCAACATAATCACCCATAAATAAATAACGTGTTGATGCTGGTGGACCTTCAAAGAAAAGCATTCTTTTCTTTCAAAAAAAAATGTTTTTTCTCGTCAATTTTCCGGAAAGAATAATGGAACCATTCTCAACCTTCTTCTTTCTTTTCTATTATAATAATTTTCATTGCGTTTTTCTATATTGACTCAACTCGATGCATGTATACAATGGTATTCTGTTTTCTTTTTTCAACGAAAAACAAAACAAAAGGAAACGCGTGATAAAAAAAAATTCTCTTTTTCCCTAGCGATATTACGTACCACCAACTTCAATTAATTTCATAAGATCATAAAACTGTCCATGAATATCACCACAAACTAAAAAAGGAAATTGTTCGTCTGAAAAAGTCAATCAATTCATTATATTTTACCAGTTATTGGGGCTTCTAAATCGATTAAATTATTCTCTGCACGTAGTAAAGCTTCACCACGTTCAATTATCAATAGAGCAGCATCTTCTTGAAGGCGTCCCTCAGCGAGAAGATGTTCACGTAGACGATCAAGCTTTGGTTTACCAAGACCTGCATGTGTATCAAATAAGTCTGCAATGGTTAAACGATTACTTGGTAAAGATGGAGCACATCGAACATGAGAATTCGTTGATTCTGTTGATGCCATTATTTGCAAATCATGTGCAATTGTATTCGAACTGTAAAAAGAAAAACAGAAAAATCGAGTAAAGATTTTCTATTGCAAAATTTTTAAATTCCTGACAGTAATTAGATTTTTTCTTTTTCTGTTGCTAGCTCGTTTGATCTTTCTGATAAAACCGAAATATAGTTAAAAATTGACATATATTACAAGTAAGCGACTTTTTTTTCCCCTACTAACCCAAATTATATGTCATTAAAGAAAAAGAAATACGATAACCGATGAGAGAAGAAATGATCGAGTATATGTCATTTTACATCTTACTCATGCTCGAATCGATTTAATTTATACAAGTGCAACTACTAACACATATTTTCTTTGTCTTCGTGTTTTTTTCCTGTTATACCTTTCTATGACATTGTTTGTAAGACTACTCATTGCCATTCATTTATTCAATCAAGAAAACAAGTTGATCTGTATGCATCACTATTAATATATATCGAACTCGCCAGAATAGTGTAAGATAGAGAGAGAGAGAGAGAAAAGAGAAAAATATCCTGGTGTATAGGAAATAGACACAATAGGAGCGGGATGTATTTTCTTTTCTAGCACAACGTACAGATGTAAAAAGAGCGAGAAGGGAAAAAACCGAGAACGATACGGAAAGGTACAAATTGCGTATGGACAACGAATATACACGCGCCGAACGCATACGAAGAATGAGATTCCTTCTATCGTCGTCGCCTATATCAGATCAGAATTGATTATGACGAGGAACGCTACTACAGAGTAGTTACAGAATAAGCATAACTTTTCTTCTCCATATGTTCGCTTGCTCTCCTTGTCTCTTTCTCCATCTCGCGCCTATGCACACCAAAGTTAATCGGCCAAACAACACAAGTACACGATGGATGCTACCATTCTGTTACTCGTATTCGTCGAGATTTTTTCCTTGTTCGCTTGCCTATGGGAAACCTAGCGCATTTTCTTCTGGTCTCCGTCTTTCTCTTTCTTCTTTTTTCTTCTTTTTTCTTCGTTTCTCTTTTCTGTTTCTGATGTTCTAGTTGTGCCGTCTGCCTTCTACATTAACAATTAGTGTTAGGCAAAAGAAGAGGTCTCTCTTTCTTGTTCTCCTTTTTCTTCTGTCGCTTTCCCATTTTCTTTAGTCTACACACAGGCATCTGCGCGTCGTGCTGCTCATAATTGAGCAAAAGAGAATTATAACGGGCGTGCATTCATTCGTTCTGCTTGAGATAGAAAAAACTGTCTGACGATTCTCTCTCTCTCTCTCTCTCTCTCTCTTTGCTAATATGTCGCTAAAAGTATTTTCAAGTTTAGATTTCCATCGAATATAATAACAGAAGCTGATAGTTTGAGACATTCACTATATATGTATGCTCGTTCGTTCGGCCGTCTCTAAGTGTGTTGATCGGCAACAATATTTGCGCCATCAAGCCGATCTTTAAATGTATGCATACTTTGATCGAAAATATTGGATCCGTAAGAAGGATTAACAAGCTTGAGAAAAAAGTGTTATAGTTTGAAAAGTAGAAACAAAAATCTGATAAATAGTTATATATATATAATAATGGAAATCCTTCTCTTTGTTGTTGTTTACTTCTTTCCTAGAAATTCGCTGCAGGCAGCATTGCTACTCGAAGATTCATTGAAAAGACAAAAGCAGCCGAATAATAGTGAAAATGCAACTGCTGTGTGCTTTTAATCGCAACCAAGACACAAGCTAAAGCAATTAGGGTTAATGTCAACACGCGCACATATTCGTTTATCAGGACCTATACTCAAGTATGAAGAGTAAACTATGTTGTCAATAGCGTTTCCTTTTTTATTTGCTTGATTGTGTACGACAAAAACCCATTTTCATCTGGTATTGAGAAAAAGAAACTTAATGAAAATAGGATACATATTATTACCATTACTCATGCTGAAAATAGTTTATCTTGAATAACGCATTAATCTATTCAATAACAATCATTGAATTGATGAAATCGTCCATAATAATTTACAATTCTTAGATGTTTCTTTCGTATCGCCGAAAGAATAACTTAAAATTGATCGGAATCGTTTTGTTTTGCATCCTAGAATGTAAATTTGTATTTTTAAAAAGGAAAATATAATTTTGTAATAATGAATGAAATATTATTCGTTAGGCTGTTTTTATTTTCAATGGTTCGTATTTCTATCCATACGGTAATATTAAAATTTTTCTCTAGAGGACGCTGTTGTTGTGTGAATTTGTAAAACTATGTACGTCTCTTTTTTTTTTATAACAACTATTGATGTGTTTTTTTTTGTTGCTTTACATGATTGTTGTCATATGGAATAATTTAAAGTTCAATTATGAAGAGAAAAAGTATGCTTGTTATTATATGTGACAAGATAAATGCTCAACAAGACGACAAAAAAATGTAGAATAAAACATCAAAAAGGCAACGAAGATGAATATTTGAATAAATTTGAATTAAATAATCAGAACAGCAAATAATTCATCAAAGACAACAAAACAAAAATAAATGTAAATGAATGAGATTCATCACGAAAAAAAAACATCAAATTCATATTGTAAAATTTTCAATAGAACCAGATCAATCTATTAGTGCAGTTGAAGATTTTTATAACGTCAATCTATAAGATTCAATCTCAGGGCAGGAAACATCAACGAAATGAGTTTTTTGAAGTTGTCAGATAAAAATACTTCGAGTTAGGCGTGACTCAACTCAAACATTCTTGTTATTTCTATAGCAATTACAAACGGAAATTCGACCTCACCAATATAAAGGTTTCTACTTTAAATAATTAATACACTTTTTCCTCTATTTATCTTTTGAATTAAAGTTAAAACTAACGTGAGACTCATTGATATCTCATATTTTATTCTTTAAAAACAAGCCATCGTTTGAAGTTTTGCTTATAATTAATAGTTTTTCTAAGAGACATGATTATATTAGTTATTTTTTAACCATTCGCTCACCAGGAACAGTTCAGATGTATATCCGGATTCCGGAAATACGGTCTATTGATTTTCTGTAGCAACTCTTGAATGATATGACTCGTGGCATATATTTTTTAGGGGAACTTATTTATGTTAATAGTAATTTTATGCTTCATACAAGAGTCGAAAAAGAAAATAATATTTGCTAGAATTAATGTATTTGACGTTCCTATTTTTATATAATTGTAGGTTGCCTTAGAGGGTAATTACACGTCGTATTCAAGGATTTAATTGATAATATTTTCTATCTAAGATTAATGACTCGAAACATTCGACCGCTAAGATTAACTCTGTAAGTACTAATTCATAGGAATGCGAAGGTACCGATGCAAAAGTCAAGATTATTTTTTATTCATTTGATAAAATATATCATTGAAAACCACTAGATATCGATGTTGTATGAAGTTAATCTTGAAATTATGCGATTCCAAGCTATTTTTATAGAAAGAAAATTAACTACATTCAAGGTAATATCTTCTCGTTCTCAGTCAATACATTAACAGCCTTCGGGTAAACAATCTCGGGTGCTTTTCTGATGTCCTTCACCCATGAGAATTTTCATCGCAGAGAAATAAGGACTTCATCTTGGCTAGTACTATATTGACAGTTTTTTCATAACAAAAAAACAGAAACAATAAATCTCAACATCCGACATCCCTCAAGGGAACACGAGAATATTCAAAAAAAAAATTGTTCTTCCAAAAAACAAGATATTCGTCAAACACATTGATATAAAATGCCATGCTAAGTACACGTATATGATTGAAGTTCATTATTAATTGTAACTGAGTAGTGTACGTTTGATATATCGATGTCATATATTTGTCATGGATCGACTAATTTTCCATTAGAAGGGTACTCGATATGCCATAAAATAACAATTTATAATCATATGTCTACGATCATTGGCTCGAGTGAAGATTATATGAAAGTCTAACTAGTATTATATTCTAATTTCTTTTGAGATCTAAATTCTAATGAATGCATAATATTCAAGAGCAAAAAGATAAAGAAGTCGATAGAAAATATGGAAAACTCAATCGAAGATAAATTTACTACTAAACATTTTTAGCGAATGGTGTTCAATAACTGTTTTTTTTTTGGGTATTATTATGGGACATGCTTAGATAAGTTTTCAAATAGCTCGAATACCTAAAGTGACATGTTATTGGCTTTCTGTTTTTATTACGGCATAAGAAACAACTCGGTACAAACATCTGTGTAACAGTCAAAACACTAAAAACGTCAAGTTGATCGGATAGTAAACCTGTATGGTCGTTAGAAAAGAATCAATCTCGTATTTTAGAGATTATCAGAGTCAAATTTAGGAGAGATTCTTATTTTTGACATATCTTCATATTCTTCTCATCGATCACAACGATGACGATTGAAGAAGAAGAAGAAGTAATGAAAATCGGACGTCACTTTCTAAGAGTCCAAACGGAAAGAAGTATAAATCATCATCAAGAAGAAAAATACCATTTGATAAACAAAATGACAAGCAGCTGGGTCTTTCAATTGTTGGCAGTCAATTCAAGATGTCTTGTTTGTCATGCAAATAAAAATCTGTGTAAAATTGTTTACGTAATTGTCCTCAGTACAAAAGAGAAAAAGCATTTTTATATGAGCTGTAAAAACAATTTGTTTCATAATCATCATGAGGGTATTGTTTTTCTTCCTAAGTAAAATATCACTATCGTAAAAAATCAATACCTTGAATATGAAGTATCTTGCACTAATGAAGTTATTGTACTTGAACACTAGAAAAATTTATGATCAATAGAGTGAATCGTATGTCAAAGAAGAGAAAGTCTAAATCATTGACATCAAATCGAAAAAAAAACTTTTGAACAACGCACTTATATATGCAATAGCTAAAGATGAAATTTCAGTAGAACGCGCAATATTTAGCTATGTTATTCACGAGTAAAAAAAAGATTATAAAATAAAATAAAATAATTTCTGAGTTCTTAGGTTCAATCGCTTTTTTTACTTTATTTATAAATAACAGATATTCTATAATTGAATCACGATTAAGTGCTATATTATGTACTATTAAAGGCTATAACAAGGCAACAGAGACAACAACAAAAAGAGAAGCAACGGTGTGTAATATATGTCCATATGGCTGGTTTTTTGTTTGTGCGGCGTTTTGCATATCAATTATCTTCGATGATCATGCCTATTCTCTGTCAGTCAGCTATAGCACCAAGCCATTAGTATATTTCATATTAACCAAGATACAGTCGACTATGAGATCATTTTGTATTGCATTACTTTTTTTACTTATTGTTTCATATTGGGCTCATATATTTCTAAGCCGTGAAATTAATACAAATGAACTACCAACAGTCGTTGTTGACAATAGTCCTATTAATGCTGGTATATGTGAATGTCGATGTTGTGTTTTGAGTGGTACTATGTGTGAAACTATTATACGATATAGTGTATCATTCAAACAAGATTTTAAGTGTGATTTATGTACAACCGAATTTTGTACATTGAACGTCAATGAAACCGAACAATGTGATTGGATGCAGACAATGAAAGCCGACTGTCATCAATATGAACCTCGTCAGAAATCTTCATCATCCTATGTAAATATACGACCTATTTTACAATGAAAGTTCGTTTTTTCTTCTTCTCGAATAAAGTATTTTTAAAAGGATTCTAAAAACAACAATTCATGTATTTTAGGGAATAAAATAATGTCTCTATGGAAACAGTTATCATTTCTCATGAGATAGTTCGATGATTAAAATTTTGATTGCTTTAATTTTAACGTATCTTTTTTTCCAAGTAAAATCTAAATATGCCGCTGTTGTTGTTGAATATTTCATCACATGACAAATGATAACAATCTAGGACATTTTATCTTCTATTTTTTGTATTCAATTGATAATCTTATTATTTTTTTTCAACGATGACTAATATTGTTTTGTAAAATAGTCGAGTTATATTTTTTATCGGATATTTTTAAAGAGAAAATATCATTGGCGAAATTAAAGACCATAACTACATATAATCATGTAAAAAGCATTGTTTCGATGACAACTATGATCGCTTTATAGTAAAGTGCCGTCTTGAGTATTGATGATGAAATTTCTCTTGAGTCATACAGCTTACTTTGCATCATACAAAAGGCAATAGAAAACAGAACGGCGCTGAATCACATTACATACAAAACATAGTTGCCGACGTGGCAAAAAAGAAATAAAATCTTTCGCATCATAGGCAAGCCACGTCACTATAGTTTGACAACGACCACATTTAGTTACTTCTGCTCAGTAGTTGCTGCTGTTTTTTCCTTAATCATATATAAGGTAAGTTTTGCATCTTATAAAGAAAACCAAAGGATACCGTTAAAAAAACCATCAAATAAATCTATAACTGTTTTGATTAAAAGAAAATGAATAGATATAATTGTAATAAAAATACTGAAGCAATTTCACTCAATGATATTTATGAAGGAAGAAAAAAGATAAATGGAAAATTCTTTATCTTTATCTATAAATTCATATATATACATATATTAATCAAAGTGAATCACATTTTCACTTTCACTTTAAGGCTTATACACTTTCACATCTATTACAATGATGATGGAAACTGTCTATGATCCGTATGAAATGCTGTTGGGTGACGGACAAGCGTCGCCAAGCTCAGATTCATTACTTTTTACGAATGAAGTTATGCTCTGCGATTTTAATAATGATTATGCATCAATAAGTTCAGTATCAAATACATTGGATAGCGCAGGTTAGTTAATATTCGATATGATTTGCCTATTTTTATTTTGTTTTGAAATAACTAGAATGTGATTTTGATCCTATTGCTTTCGAAGCATTCTTGAATGATTTCTTATCAAATGATGCATCAATACTGAAAGAACAATCGATGGATCTTCCATTAACACCATTGGAAGCTGAACCAACGACTCGCGAAATCGGAACTGATCCCATGGAATCAGTGTCAACTACACGACCCATTACTATTACAACAGCTAATATGCATCAATTTTCTAAAAATTCTATAATTCTTATTCGAACAACAAATGGAAATGAAATCGGTCATTCATTACAAGTAGAAACTTTACCATTGACGACAACAACAGCTGAATCTTACAATTTTCACTTTGAAACACCCATATCAACCACTAATGATTATCAAACGGAAGATACTCTACCGTTAACACCGTCAACATTAAGTGAATCAAACGATGAAACACGATCAGATTCACCAGAAATTTCTCCAGACAATGTCTATTCAACATTGTTAACAAATTTTGATGTAAGCTGACTAAAAGTAACTGTCACGTTTGAATTCCTTCTTTGCCTCCTACTTTAGAATTTACCCGGCAAAGGTCCATTGGTTTTAACAAATGAAGAAGTGAAATTAATTAAACAAGAAGGTTATCAAGTACCAAATAAACTACCATTAAATAAAACTGAAGAAAAACTGTTGAAAAAGATCCGCCGAAAAATAAAAAATAAAGTAATTTATGAAAAAATAAAATAAAGACAATTCATTTTCGTATACCGATTTATTTTAGATTTCAGCGCAAGAAAGTCGTCGAAAGAAAAAAGAATACGTTGACGCACTAGAAAAAGAAATTGCGAAATATGTTGATGAAAATAATGCGCTCAAAGAACGAATGGCAACTATTGAAAAAAATCAAAAGTAAGATGAACTAATTTTCTCAATGAATAAAATTGAAGTGTCAAAATGAAGTAGATAATTAAAAATTGAGACTATAAACAAAGAAAGCCTGCACACCCATGCCAATGAAAAAGAATTAATATTAACACGAGACCTGTAGTAGAAGCCCACTTATTTATATCTATACTAAAACCTGGAGATCGTTTTTCGATTGTAGTTCATAGAGGTCATCTCTTTTTATGTCCATCATCTTTTGGTCAACTAACTTTTCGATTGATTTAGAAAACTGGCAAAAGAACGAGATTTACTTCGATCAATGATGAACAAAGTCACACCTCAATCCGGTACAGTTTTAATGGTAAGTTTTACTTTCTCATCAAGCGAAATTCATTTTATTTCTTCTGCTTTTTTTGATGTTTAATTTAGGCTTTTGCTGTATTTTTTGCCGTTGTTTTTGGTATTTGGGCACCTGCTACTAATAAATCAGGTATCGATGATAGATCATTATCATTAGAAAATTCATTTATACCATCGAATAACTACCAATCAGCATTTGCAACACAAAAATCTTTATTTGAACAACAAGAATCTACGCCTTCAAATTATGTGAGTGATAAATTTAAATCTCGTGTACTTCTTTCAATCGATGAAACTGATAATCATCATTATGGTCCATATTTACCATCGAAAAATGAATATCAATCATCGTTTCGACGGGAATCCGCTGCACCAGGCTATACATATTCACATACAGTTGAGAAATATATGAATAAAAAACTCAATTCAGAAAAATCGATCGAAGAAGCACACGATAATAATTTTAAACAAACATTAGCCGATGAATCTTCATCACTTGATTATATACGAGAACCAGCACATAAAAAACGAAAAGCAAATTATCATATGAGTGAAAATTTTATTGTTGTTGAAGAAACAAATGAAGAAATGGATGCTGTTCTTAATGAAAGTAAACAAGTCAAAATTATTCGAGTTGAACGAACAATACCAGCGTTTGGGAACGATAGTTTAAAATTAGCTCATCAAACAATTGACAAATGACTTTTGAAAACAAAAAATTGAGACCATATAGTTTTTATGTTGTATGCCTAATCAACTCACCGTAAGCGTCATTGTGATTGTTTAAGAAATAATCGAGTTGCTTTTGTCTTTTCGTGTATATATGATAGAAGCTCATATTCTTCTTTAAATAAAATTTGTTTTTTAAATAAAACGAAAAATGAGTCAAGATACTATGTTTTCTCTGATGTACCAAATAAGAAAACCGCTCTCAATCTATTGAGAAATTATGAACAAGATAAAGTATCTCGATAGAAGATTTAGTTCGGCTCATTATCAAAAAGAAAACGATTGGGTAAATCTTTTTTCGCCATTTCAATAACACTGAAATACTTTGTTTGTGATTATCTTTCATGAGTGAGAATATTATGAAATATTTCTAGATTTGAAATGAAAAGTTCTGACATAAAATATTGATGATGTTAATGGAAAACTAAAAGGGAAAAGGCTAGAAAATAAAATCTTGTATGACAATAATTGATTCTGAAAAGATAGATGTGTTTCTCGTATAAAATCTACACTTCTGTTAATCAACATATAGACAGCAAGTAACCGTATAAAAAATGTTCCAATATAAAAAGTAGGCAAGATATGGAAAAACGTTTAACACGCATACAATAAAAATTTGACCGCTAACATCGTATTTTTAATACGTACGAGAGATTTAAACTGATAAATAAATAGTATTCAGTTATCTTTGTTTAAAATAATTCTAAAATCTTTTAATATTTCAACATTATAATGTTCAAAATAAATGATAATATGATTGTTCGGATCAAGATTATTGTTCTTTCGCCACGATTCAAATAATTCGTATTAGTATCTATAAAGATTTTCTTCATAGATCATCGACATATTAGTGCTAGAGGAGTCATCCGGTTCTTGTGTTTTGTTGTTATGCTGATTTTTCATTGAAATTATTGCTTCTCGAAAGATATGTTGAATATGTTGTGTTTTAAAATGAAACGGAAAAAATTGTAGAATAATAATTGTATTACAAAGAAAAGCAGAAATCACTTCGGCAACCAGAGAAGCAGCTTCGTAGATATGATCGTTATTATTAAAATAGAACCATTCAGTTGCAACTGCTGCCGTAACCGTGGCCACAAATAAATACAGTGCAGATTTAATCCATACACCTTGAAAACGATGATAAGAATCTGAGAAAAAATCGAATAGAAGAAAATAAGCAATGGTATTTCGTGTTAATGATGTATATTCGATTTTCATATAGATCGGTATGTATATGGTAAGAATAACTTCCAAACGAGAAATAAAATGAAATAAATGTTTATTCTCAACGATAATATTCGATTTGAAATCGTTCAGAACTCGACAATAGAGAAGGCCAACCGTAAGATACGAATGAAGAATGAGAAACGAGAAATAGATAATACTTCGAAATGTGTCACGTTCTTGAATATAGAAAATCAAATAGCCAAGATTAGCTATTTCTGTGATTATCCATAATAGAATATGATAGATTCCTAGTGCATATCGAGATCGGATCGGCGCACAATATTGAAGATAGATGAAGACAATAACAATAGTGGACAAGAGTCCTTCGTAGTTACGTGATTCTGGATGGTAAATATAATGATACCAAGCATCGAATACATAGCAACTCGATGCAATAAATGGAAGAATGATCATTGCATAGAGAAAAAATCGATCCCGTCCATCTTCGGCACTATACAAATTGAAACATCTCATTTTTTTTCCCGCCACACTCAACCTTCAATCATATGAAATGCGTAGTGGGATAGGTCTGCAAAAAATAATTACGGCTCTCAACAGACGATTGTTCTAAACTGATTCAGAATGCGAAGCTCATCGACCAGAATCAGAAAGAAAGTTGTATTTTTTTTGTTGGTTTTCACCGTCTTCTATTTCACATCTGCCTCTTAGTATCAATATCGAAATTAACTCTTTAGAGCACACAATTCATCACAGGGGAAACAAATGAATATCGAAGAGAAGAATCGAACTTTTTCGTGCAGAAATAAATTTTATTTTATTCTGGTTGAATTGATCCGTTTACAAAGTATTCTATATCTTGACAACAAAAACAATCTTCGAATTGAAATACATTTTCTCTTCGTTGTTATTTGCATGCAAACCTCAGTAATATACAAAAATTCGATATTCTTCCTTGAGATTAATACTCAATAAATAGTTAATTTAGATTAACAAATGAGTACATGATGAATCTCAAGTGTTTAGAAAAACTCAAAAAATTTGAAAGTTCTGCAAATAATCCTATGAAATAGAATCTTCTTATTTCTACTTTCGATTACTTTTCTTAAAACTTACACTTTTGAGTTGTTCTACTGGATCCTTTAGAGCATCATATTTCCATTATTAAGTACCTGATATACGGTTATTATTTAAGTTTTTATTCTTTTCAAAAAATTAAATATACATCGATTTATGTCACCGTTGATTTTTAATTTAATTTAATATTAATTTACATATTTGTCTAGTTGTTTGTTGTCTGCGTTTTGCGTTGATGATGACTTGCAAATTGAAATAGTTGAATAACATTTATGCATATAGCACACAATCCTATCACCAAAAACAGCCCAGTCATTGATAAATAAATTGTTACAGTGAATGTCAAAAGCATGATAGTTATTCCACCGAGAGCTAATAGAATAATCACAACCAAACCTAACCATTTACGTGACAAACAACAACATAACTTGAAACCATAGCACATCAGAGAGAATACAGAAGAGGCGATTCCGATTTGATTGAGCATGGCTATGGCAGTAATCTCCTTGTAAACCCAGATGAAACAGACAGCTTTTGGTGTTGTCAAATTCATTAATTTTTCACCAGGCTCACAATCAATCCTTTCATTTGACTGTATATTGTTGAAATTAAAACAATCGCTTCGCTGTTGTGGACAGAAGCTACCTGCAGATAATTGCATTACTTGAAAGATACATACATCAATCAATACTAGTGAAACGATCCATATGATAGCTACCAATTGAAAAATGAGAGATACACGAAAACGTCGGGAAGCTAGAAAGCTAATTTCGATACCATAAAAATTCATCATTAATTGTTGTTTATCGGATTGAATAATGTTAAATGATTTTTCAATAAAGTTTACCAATAATCGATTTGGCAATAGGAGGCCTATTAACATCTCGACGAGAAAAACGCCAAATGACATTCCATATATAATGTATTCGTAAGAAGCAAAATTCATCGTTTTGACTCGACAGTCTCTAAAATGCCAATGAATGAACATTCTTCTTGGATGCATCTGTCATTGGATCGAGATCATGTTACGTTTATTCACTATCACGCAAAGTAACTAGATCAAAACAACCAACATTAACTAGAAAAATGTAGTTAGTGCTGTTTTTAACTAAATATTTGGACGTGTTTAGTTAACAATTCATTAAGTTTCTTGTATTCACATGTTCTAAATATCAAATTCTATTTATATTATCAAGTAACTTCGAGAATGGCTTCAACGTGAAAATCAATTTTATCTCATACAAAGTTTAGATACAGAAAGATAATAGAATGAACGAATATTTTCATGTCATCGATTTAAAATAAAAGTAAAATCATCAAACACAATAACACAATAATGCTTTATTGATTTTCCCCATTCAATATTATCAATGGTCGTTTAACAACTGACAGACATTTTTTGTTAAAGAATTTTGAGATCTGCTTCGCACCCTCAAGTTTCAATTAATGTATAAATTTGACATGTAAGCAAATGTATGTTCAAGTGTTTATATGATGAACTAGAGGAGCCTGAATCATAGCTCAGACCACAGTCGATTTGGGTTATAATGTTCCAATGATTTGGACTTGAAAATTGGATAGAATTGACACGAGTGTTTAATCCGAGTCATTTGTTCTGACGAGAACATGACATTCGAACTGTTTCTTCTTAAGCTACCGACATTCATATAGTTGTGATTGATCGTCGATGTGCAGCCCTGAATCAGTGAAGCTGGGGATTGAGTCACATGTAATCTACTCTATTACGTCACGATCTAAATCATTTTCTACAATTAATACCAACTCACTTATTTTCTTATAAAGACTGTAGATATGAATTTTCTTTCTCAACTGCAGCTGCATCTTCAAAATAAGATTCCTGAATATCACATTCTAAAGGGCTTTCAAGTTTTCTCTCAAAACCGATACTATGGCCATAAGGGTAATGGCAATGCAGTTAGATTTGAATAGAATAATGTAAATTGTTATTTGGAAGATCCCGAGTAAATTCAAATTTCATCCCGTTTTCGTTTTACTCTCGAATAATATTATGCCTATGATATTTTCTTGCAGTGTTTTTTTTTATCATGCTGTTTTAATCTATATCAAATTGGAAAATGCGAATACCGTCATAGATGAAATATCTTTTTTTTTCAAATCATTTGCTATTTTATTCAGATGTGCAGGATCGTATTAATTAATAAATTTGTTGATTATGCCTAAAATTTTGTTCTTCTGACCAAAGATGGGAAGTTTTATTAATTTTTGTTTTCGAATCAAATTTGATTCTCATATAGTATATGAAAAAACAACGACAAAGAAAAAGAAATCTGGAGAATACACGCACATATACATAAACAGTCTTTCGTCTGCAAATAATATTTGTTGTTTTTGGTTGCTTCTTGTTTATTTTTGAAAACTTAAGCACGTTCACCACGAATACGTCGTGCCAATTGAATATCTTTAGGCATAATCTTAAGAAAAGGATTCGTAATTTAATCTTTTTTTTTTACTTCTATTTGTTTTTTTCTTACCGTAACCCGTTTAGCGTGAATAGCGCATAGATTTGTGTCTTCAAAAAGTGAAACTAAATAAGCTTCGCTTGCTTCTTGAAGGGCGCCAATAGCTGCTGATTGAAAACGTAAATCTGTTTTGAAATCTTGTGCAATTTCACGAACAAGTCGTTGAAATGGTAATTTACGAATAAGTAATTCAGTTGATTTTTGATAACGACGAATTTCACGTAATGCTACAGTGCCCTACATGATCGTAAAAAGAAATAAGATTTGTCTATTTATTTTTTATAGAAAAAAAATTTCACAACGCACTGGACGAAAACGATGTGGTTTCTTAATGCCACCTGTTGATGGAGCAGATTTACGTGCTGCCTTTGTAGCAAGTTGTTTACGTGGTGCTTTACCACCAGTTGATTTACGAGCGGTTTGTTTTGTACGAGCCATTGAATTTTAGAAAGTTTTTTTTTTAAATCTACAACAAAACATATAAGTTACAATTTGTGACCTCATGACCTGTAAGATATATCGATAAAAGATGTTTATTCGTTTCTACTTATTCTTTTCTTCCTACACGATCATGACAATCTATTTGTGTCAAATGATTGTTTGTTCATACGAGAGAACAACAAGAAGAACACGCGCGATCAAATGTTATATGTGATTCTATTTCCTTCGTTCATTTGCGCCCTCTTTTCAGTGCTGCTCACTACAATATTTCTTTTTCTTCTGTTCTTTGACCACAGAGACACCATTTTTTGACATACCTCTTTTCTCTTGCGTAGACGTTTTTTTTTTTGTCTTCTTTAAGGCACAGAGAGAAGAACATACAGAACGAAAGAAAAGCGGACGGGTTACTCGCGCCATTTTATTTTCTATCATATTTTTTTTACTGTTGTCTATGATGATATATCTATTTTAGATCTTTACTAATCGGACAGCAGCACGGTTAGCAAAATTCGAACTGAAAATTTTAGATGCAACTATCATCTCTCATCACATCAGTATCGATGTTGATTTTGTTTTATAAACCCATTCATGAACTGATAGGTTCATGCAAAAAATGAGCGTTGAACTAAATTAATTAATCTGAAAGAGTTGTTCGATTTTTCGTGATTTACTGAAGATTTTATATAACTAAAGATTTTCGATATTAAAAATTGAATATAAAGATTTTGTTTACCTTATTCCCATAAGGTTTCTGGCAAAAAAAAGACGTTTTCTTACTCTGTTAAAGAAAGAGAAAAACAAGTTATTAGACTGATTTCCATAGAATTGGATCTAAGCTACAAAATTTTCATCGAAAAAAATCAGTATTAATCTATGTTGACACCTTGTCTCTCAAGTCTTTCTTCACCTTGTCAAATTACTGTTATTTTTAATACTTAGCCTCACAATCGTGCGATCGCGTATGCGCATGCAACCGACTGTCTATTTACTTGCTCTTGTGTATGCGAGTCGACGGTTGTGTATGTGCGTGTGTTGTGCTGCTCGTCAACGAGGATAATGCAATGAGAATGAGCGTTTTGCAGTGGGTATATATAGTACAACGTTCGTACAAACTCGAAGCCCCTCCACCAATGAATGCATGTGTAAGAAGTTTGTGAGGCTCGACTATTGGGTGAATGGTGGATGATGATGGTTATTTATGTATTTTTGTTGTTGTCTTCGAACTAGTGGAGGCAATATGAGAATATAGAATATAAAATGAAAGAGAGGTCGCCGGGCGGTTTCAAAACTAGGAGGATAATCGGACGACCTACTTGAGAGAGGAAAACGTGGGAAGAAAGGGGAAAAAACTGGTCATTGTAGACCTTCTGTCTCGTTCTTGGAGATATAGAAGTTCGTAAAGGAGGAGAACAGAAAGAGGATCGCGCACGAAACTTCGCTCGCGCCATACCTGTGAACTTGGAGAATGCGCAAAAGCCTGTATAATCATACACAGAGCTTACAATGATAGAAGGACTTGAAATTTAGCAATCGATTTTCATCGTACTATCAAAGATAGTATTCATGCAAACAGTAAAAAATGAAAAAAGTAAAAAAAAGAGAAAAAAAAGAGGCAAAGAAAGACAACAACAGAACGGAAGAAAAAGGAACAACATGAGAATGACGATAGACGATAGACGATAGAAGAAGAGAACGAAAGATTTGTCGCGGATACGTAAAGCGAGATTTGAAATATTTAGATAGAACAATAAATACAACGCTAATTAACAGAATAGATAATCAAACGCTAATTGGCATCAGAACAAGGGCAAACAACGAGCGCCATCTATGGACACTTCTGTTTTTTGTAAAAATACTTAAGCAAGCAAAACATTCACATATGAAAAATGTATATATACCACCAATGGCAAAATAATGCTTTTTGTCGACACTTTATAGTTAAATGCGATATTAATATATTGTTGGATCAAGAATAAAATATTTTATTTTCATATTAAGCATAAATTGAGATTCGTCAATATTAGTTTTTTTTCGTTCATAGTGAGAGTGGCATATTTATTTATAGTCACATTTATTTAAGAAACTATTCAAAGTCAAATACTCCATGAAAACATATCAAACGAATTAGCATACAGATATTTTCTTGCAAGTATGCTATAGATTTAATAGTCTTTTAAGCTATATGAAAAGTTCTGTTTGGAACAAGTGATTTTTCTTATATAGACACACAAGTTCTGTTCGACGAGCTTGCAACGCATTAAAAAGTGCTCAAAGAAGAAACTGATGCTGTTAAGCTTCGATAGTGTATAGTATTGGCATAGAACATCGTATACAGCATGTTAATTTGCGATGAGCAAGGCAATGGTTAATTCAACTTCACATTATTTGAATATTAATTTCCACAAAGCAATGATCGATATTTAGAGAGCAAATCTGAAAAGTGATTGAGTACACTGAAACTGATTTGCCTGAAGATTCATAATATATTTATAGTTTTTCTAAACAAAAATTGAATGATTGATACCATAAAATGAAGGGAACAGCAGTCGTTTGCTGAATTGCATTCCTGCAAATGGATTATATGAAGTTCGCATAGTAATTGTAATAACAAATATTATTAATTTTCTTACTGCTGTAAAATATATTGCTTCATTAGAAAGGTCTTCGTTTCCGCAATTGAGAAATGTATTCAATGAGATTACGTAGATCAGCAACATATTCATGCCTACATATGGAAAACGTGAGACTTCTTAGTCTAATATTTCTGTTTGTCTTCAATGTGCATGCCCAATAAAATTTTACGCTTAGCAAAATCTAACTAATACTCTTTGAAAGTATTTAAAGGTTTGCAATGGTCATTGCTTTAAATAGGATTGTGCAAAACAATAGATATTTCAATAATTCAAATTTAAAAGTCGAAGCGACTGATAAAAAAAATTTCTAGAACAAACTTCATGATGAAATTAGCTCAACGCATGTGATCAATATAGATAAAAAGTTGACCATTCCATTTTCATGAATACAAGTTCATATTTTTCTGTTGCTAATTTTAGCCCAAAGACCGTATTTTGATCCCATCGTAATTTTTAAATCTAACACTATTTTCTGCCCAGGTACCATTTCAAAATTGCATCGTTGAACAAACATAGCTAACATGATTTTAGCTTCTAATAAAGCAAAATTTTGTCCGATACAGTTTCGTGGACCAGCAGCAAATGGAAGATAAGAAAATGGATGTGATAATTTTGGTTTCAAACCTGTTTTCGGATCACGCATCCAACGAGTGTAATCGAATTCGTCTGCCCGAGGCCAAAGATCATTTCGACGATGAAGAAGATAGTCACTTATTAGTATAGTCGCTCCTGCAGGAATACGTATGGGATGCTCGTCACCGATAATATGTTCTCGTATGCAATAACGTGTGAAAACTGGTGCCGGTGGATAGAGACGAAGTGTTTCATTGATGATTGCTTCACATATAACTAGATCAGTAAGATTATCATTAGTCGGCAATTTACCATTTGATAAAATCCTATCAACTTCTTCTCGACATGCTCCTAATACATCGTCGTGAGTCATTAAAACGTATAATATCCATGTCATAAGATTCCCAGTAGTTTCACTGCCAGCAAGTACAAACGTCAGAGCTTCTTCTTTGATTTCTTGATCAGTAAATGGTTTTCCTTCATCATCAACAGCTGCAAGCAACAAATCAAGAAGGTCAGGTCCATTAGATAAACTAGCCGATTTTCCTTGTCGTCTCTGCACAATTATTTGGTTGACAAAGTCGCTTATAATGCGAACTCCCTTATCAACTATATTTTTTCCCCAGAAGGGAAATTTTGATAAGAAAGGTATCTGATTAATCATCAGCAATGAGCGACGAAGAATAACTTCAAGTACCTCACCGAACGTTGTGTGAATAATCTCTTGAGCATTAGTTATTGTTTCAAATCCTGAACCGAATGCACTCGATGCAATTATAGATAATGTAAGTGCATTAAATTGATTTTGTAGGTCAATTGATATTTGATCTTTTTGTTTGATAGTCGATATTTGAATAAGTCTATCGATGGTCCTTGCTGTTTGATCAGTAATGATTGACACCATGGATTTAAGATTGGTATGATAAAAAGCAGGATTAATCATTCGTCGTGCTCGTTCATGTTCATTACCTTCGGCTACTAGCAAATTTTTTTCACCAATAATTTGACTGAAGACAGTATTGAATAAAGGTGGTTTAATATAATTTTGTACATTTCTGCGACTAAACATATCAGCAAGTAAATCAGGTTCAGTAATAACGAGACGTACTACTGGACCGAAAGCATATAAAAACAAATTTCCATGTTTTCGAGCTAAGTCTTGCTGAAAACTCAGGATCGAACCGAATTCTCGATATCGACGAATGGAAGGAAGCTGACCAATTAATGGTACGAATGGTTCACCATTGATTCCTTGCGCACGAAGTATATCATAAACACGTTTCTCAGGACGTATGAGTTTTAAATAGACTATAGCAATTGTAACCAGAAAAAGGACTACGACAATATAAAGTAAAATTTGGAACGCCATAAAGAAAACGATCGCAAGTTTATCAGCTAATCATGACTTTTTATACTTTGTAAAACATAAGACATTTTGTGTAGGCAATTTATTTTTATAAAGTCAACACTCGTGTTCTTCTAAAGCGTAGCAGATTTTATGTAGAAAAAAAGAAAGAAAGAAGGAAAGAAAATGAGACTTGTGTCTTAGAAAAATATTACGAAACGTACATTCTGTATGTGTTTCACTCCAGACTACTTGACCTTAAGATAAAAGTAATTTCTTGTTCGATTATCTTTTCAAGCTAAAATTTTAGGCCTATCGTGTTCTTTTTTGAAAAACTATATAAAAAACGATCTCGTCTTCCATTCTATGTTTTTTTCCAAGAGATGGTAATATTTAATGTAGCTATAGATGAAAACTCTTTCTAATATTTCAACAATTCTCTATTTAAAACAGTTTAGTATTGTCACTTTTTTTTATAAGCATCGAGACAATACGTCTTCCTAAGCTACACAATATTTATAAGCAAACTATCGTTCTGCTGCTAGTAAAATAACCCATTGAATTGACACGGAATTCACTTCTGTTGAAGTCTATTTTCGACTTTAGAAACTTTATGTTTGAGAAAGTCAAACGGTTAAAAATATAGATGAGTTGCAGTAATCACTACAGACTAGAGACGAAAAAACTCAAGTCATATTCAAGAGTTCGTTATTCGTTTTCGACTATAAAACTTTCACAGATCATATCAAAATAGGGTGAGAAAAAGGGTTTCACGACATTTCCGCGCGCGACACCACCGCGCAATACAGGTTCATGCATAATATTTGCTCGCAAACTCCTCATTCTAACGCTCACCCTCACTCGTCCCCTCACTTTTGTTTTCGTTTTCACCCTTATTTTTGAGCTCACCCTCAACTTTTGCTCTCACGATCACTGTTGCACGGAAGTGTCGCTCGCGGTAATGTCGTGTCACGATTAGAAGCACTGCATTTATCGGAAATTGCTTTGGCTTCAATCAGGATGTTTTTCTTACTTTGAATACTCTCCAATCTTTATGTAAATATATATCCAAACATACAGCGCTATAACTAGCCGATTCTTATATATTAGCAGAAACGTTTTATTAATAAACCTATGTTGAAATCAAAAAATTCTTCACGAAAGAAATGGTGAATTATATTAAACAAATATATAATTTTTAAATAAAAATATTTTATACGAAAGATATCAGTTCATAATCAACGTTTACTAATCGTTGCTACTAGTCTATATTTAGGGCGCATTGTAATTGTGACTTCGAATATTATTTTCTGCCCAGGTACCATTTCAAAATTGCATCGTTGAACAAACATAGCTAACATGATTTTAGCTTCTAATAAAGCATAATTTTGTCCGATACAGTTTCGTGGACCAGCAGCAAATGGAAGATAAGAAAACGGATGTGATAATTTTGGTTTCAAACCTGTTTTCGGATCACGCATCCAACGAGTGTAATCGAATTCGTCTGCCCGAGGCCAAAGATCATTTCGACGATGAAGAAGATAGTCACTTATTAGTATAGTCGCTCCTGCAGGAATACGTATGGGATGCTCGTCACCGATAATATGTTCTCGTATGCAATAACGTGTGAAAACTGGTGCCGGTGGATAGAGACGAAGTGTTTCATTGATGATTGCTTCACATATAACTAGATCAGTAAGATTATCATTAGTCGGCAATTTACCATTTGATAAAATCCTATCAACTTCTTCTCGACATGCTCCTAATACATCGTCGTGAGTCATTAAAACGTATAATATCCATGTCATAAGATTCCCAGTAGTTTCACTGCCAGCAATTACAAACGTCAGAGCTTCTTCTTTGATTTCTTGATCAGTAAATGGTTTTTCTTCATCATCAACAGCTGCAAGCAACAAATCAAGAAGATCAGGTCCATTAGATAAACTATTCGAGCGCCCTTCTCGTCGATCAGTTATTATTTGATTCATGAATTGTGCTATTTCTCGAGCTCGTTGATCGATGATATCTTTTTTTCCAAAAAGGTAATTTCGAAGGAAATGGCATTGAATTTATTAAATGCATAGAACGATAAAGAATAGCATTAAATACGTTGGTGAATAATCGACCCATAACATGTTTTGCATTTTCATTTGTTTCAAGATTTGCACCGCATGCACTCGAAACAATTATAGCAAGTGTGAGACTGTTGAAAAAAACTTGTATATCCATTGATCTTTTCGACTGTTTATCACAATCTAAAGTTTTAAATACTGATTGAATAGTTTCTTCTGTGCGATCAGTAACATTTGATACCATGGATTTAAGATTTGTATGATAATAAGCAGGATTAATCATTTGTCGTTCTCGTTCATGTTCATTGCCTTCGGCTACCAATAAATTATGATTTCCAATGGCAGGACCTAAGATTGTATGAGCGACTGGTGGTTTCGTATAATTACGTGCATTGCTTCGATCAGGTACATCTGCAAGAAGATCAGATTCATTGATCATGAGACGTATCACAGGACCAAAACCAAAGACATATGTATTACCATGTTGTTGAATTCGATTTTGATGAAAATCCATACGTGAATTAGTTTTTCGACGTCGACGTATTTCAGAAAGCTGCCCAAACAATGATATAAATAGTTCACAACCGACACCTTGTGTACGTAAAGCATCATATAATAGTTTTTCTGAACGAATAAACTTATAATAGATAATAAAAAATACGAGGCAAATAACTGTTACAAATATATATAGAAGAATTTCGATGGTCATGTTGTTACGAAAAATCTACTATTAAATTTTTATATAATGAGCTGGCCTCCGATTGCACTTTTTTAAAAATATAGGAATCCTTAGAGGATCAAGGTTGTCAAAAATATAGAATTTTCGATAAAAAATGACAAAAATATAGGATGTTTTATACATAGTTTCTGTTGAATTGTTTTGCTGCTTTTTAACTGCTCTGCTCGAAAATAGTTTTAATGAAGCTGTTATAAACAGTTCAACCGTAGCCAAGTTCCTTATGTAGTTTTTTCTACTGAAATAAGTTGCTAATTCGAGGATCTTTATGAAAGTGTTTCTCAAATCGATAAATAACAACAAAGTAGATCATAAGCTTTGAAAAACAATATATGAAAAAGACAAATACCATTCTCATAAATTAAAAGAGACGTTTCAGATTACGGGCATGACTTCCCAAAAAATTTCAACCTAATTTTATTGTCCTGATAATCACCATTCATCGCTTATTATTTTCCACAAGTTTATTTTGTATGTTATCATAGCTCAATTTTTTCTGGTAATAAATAAATGAAAATGAAAATGCATATACACAGGATGGTGTAAAATTTCACGAGCTTTCAGAAGATGTCGTTACTGTAAAAAAAATATGTTCTTTTGGTAACAGTATCCTCAAAATACAGAGTGAAATTTATTTTTTCCACTGGTATATATATACAGCTTTTATACCTAACTAAAACTTCACGAAAAACCCTAAACTAGTACATGATCATTTTGTCAATGTTTTTTTCTTTTGAACTATTTTGAATTTTGTACTTAGTATTAAACAATTTCTCAATGAGCCCACTAAATAAACGAAAGGAAAAATACTGTTTAAAACAAATGTCACTATAATGCAAGAATTTGTCCAAAACACATGATTATACAGATTAAAAGTTTTTTTTCGTCTAAAGGCAATAGCAAAATTAAGAGGTTCTTGGAAATTTTCTACTTTCTTCGATAAAATGTAGGAAAAATAGGAATTTTCATTAAAATATAGGACAAATATAGAAAGTTTTTGAAAATAGAGGAAATATAGGTCGAATTGCCGCTCAGATAAGGAATACTGGTGACACGTATATACTATCAGTCATCATCGTTTCTCTTTCATGATAGCTTTGGGACGTTCTCTATTGTTTTATTGACATAATATGGCTCTATATACAAGGAGCGTTTGGCTTAAAAGATTCAAATTTATTTTTAGAAAGAATAAAAACGGTTTTTTTTCTTGATTGAGATTCTTTCGTGTTTTATAAATACAAAATGGAGTAATACGAAAGAAAAATAGAAGATTATTATGAAGTGATCACTACTCGTTTTTTTCTTTTGTTTTTAGTCTGTTGGAATAGGCAGCGAATATATTTATTAATTATTCGTAATCGATTGAATTAATTTCTTAATATCATCATGCTGTTGTTGCTGATGCATTGGATTATGATACATTTTCATGCCTGTATTCATTTGATAACAAACTGCAATAGTCTAAAAGAAAAATAAATAACATTCTATAATGAGAACTTTGTATCAAAAACATCGTACCACAAAAAATACCACGACAGCAAAAACAACCGAAATGATATTCCAAATTAAAGCATAGCGTGAGTACATTCGAGCTTTATCATGAAAGTTAACATCAGCTTTAGCTGAACTTTTCAATGAATAAGCCAGTGCAACGAGACCTTCGAATAGAAACTTAATTAGATAAAACAAAATAATTCTTCATTGTACCTGTTGCTGGGCATAAAAAAACGCTGGAAATGAGCGAGAATACAAAGAAATGACGAATTCGTACTGGTGCTGGTTTTACATGAATTGGTTCATCAATGAAAACTGGCGATAGCACTAAGATTATATTCAAATGTAAATCCTCAAGTATGACATATATATATATATATTTTCTTTTATTGCTTACTTTCATTTGGATTCATCTTTTCGTAAGAAATGTTCGCGTTCATTTTTGTTTTTGTTTTGATCGGAAAAAGCTCTACGTTTCAATATCTAAAATACAACGTGAAAAGCAAACTGAAGAAAAGAACCGATTGATATTTTCACTGAGTATAGACCAATTAGATTACTTTGTTTATTACTTTTTACACAGTATGGTTGACGCCTTTTAGGTTTTCGAGTAGAAAAATAATTACCTACGCAGCGTTGCCCATAGTGAAGTGCGAGGTGAAGAAAAAAGAATCGATCCTACGGACATCTGTCCAGATTGACTGTGGGATAACGAGTTGTATTTGATTGGTTGCGATAGGAGACCTTCAATTTTGTATAATATTTCAAACTAGTAAACAATCTTTCTGATAATTCAAAATCAGACCGCTTTTGGAAATAAATAACTAATGAACACGATGATATTTATGTACAAGTCTCACTAATGCAATCGAAATTAGTAATTAAACTTGAATTTATAAATGATACTTCTCATACATGGAAAAAAATTGATTTTCTGATACGGATCTTTATTATTATCGAGAAAATAGACAAGAGTCCTACTAGAATTAATACAAAAATCATTGTTTTATTTTATTTCAGAATGTCTCTGGTTCTTAGAAATATTCTTCGTCGATGTCCATCAGCAACAATCACTCAAAGTTCTCTTCGTTTCTGGTCATCAAGTGGTCAATTTCCTTCGCATCCAATGGGTACAGAAGAATACGAAAATCAGCCTCGTAAATCTATTACAGAGCTACCTGATGAATTAACTGAACGTGGAGCTCAACCAAAATTTATTTCTGGATATGAAACAACAAAAGATGGATGGGAATGGGTAGATAATGTTCTGTTTAAATCTGCGATACCTGAACCGCCCAATCATCCAACACCATCGGGTTGGTTTCCACCTAATCCAACACTTGCTCGTCAATGGCCATATTTTGTTGACCGAGATCGTTTTCATTCGTATGCACTTTATGTACGTATATTACCTGTTATGCTTGAATATTGGTTACATGAACAACATCGTTATTATTTGAATATTTTTCGTCGTCGTGTTGAATACGATATTTATGCACAACGAACAAGACGTTTTAGTTTACTTGAACTAATATCAGGTGATATATGGGCATTAGATAATGATTTAAAACATTACTTAACTAAACGTATTGAATTATCACATGATAAATCAAAAGAATTACCTGTTCTATCACAAGTTGATGAAATCAGACGACATATACTTGTTGATGGAGAATATGAAGAATGGATAGCGGATTTTTTAAAAGAAAAAGGATTTTGATTGTTAAAATAAATTGCATAGAAAAATTAGACGCTTTTTTTCTGTTGAAGTTGTTGTTGTTGTTGTTGTTGTTGTTGTTTTCTAGATTATATTATGTATTTATCAAATCATAATACATTGAAATGTTTAACTTCGATTCAATCAAAACTCGGAAAATTAATCACTCGAACCTTATTTAATCCTTTTCAAGCGAAACCGATTGTAGCAGCGAAAGATGCTCACTCGAATTTATTAACAGACAGCGAGCATGTTTTTGAAGTTCAACATCATACTGTAAAGCCAAAATCAATGGTAGAGAAAATTCTTTTTTGAATTTAAATCAAATAAAAATTAAGCCAAAGTACAAAGGTCTCACATTATCGATCATAACATGAGATTAGTAGACTTCATAGAACGTAAATGTCATACATTGGTCTTCATAATAGAATTAAATTTTCTTATCCTAAAACAATAGACGAGAAAAATAATTGTGATTCGATCAATATGCAAAATGTTAGCTTTTTGAATTTACGATACTTCTAGAAGAGCAAGCACTTTTTTATAACTTGACATTTGAAGCGCTTTAATGAGACCAAAACAGAAAAAAGCTCAAATTTCGAACGTTCTGTTCCGATCAGATATAAAAAAGCATTGGCAGAAAGATTGTGTAAATCAGTTTCTAACTTAAAAAGGAAAAACAGAACCATTAAATTTTCTTCTTCTATTTATTTAGCAGCCAGTAGGAACAATTTTTCAGTGCAATTCTTGTTCGAGCTACTTACTCACGACAGTTTTTATATTGCTAGAAAGAAAAAGAGAAAAATAAACGTACTCTCCGTGCAGATATTAAACAGCCAGCGGCACCATACTCTCAGAAAAAAAATACATTATCAATAACAAAATATTCTTGGTTTAGAATGAATATGAATTAGTTTTCAATGACTACACATCAGAATTACTGAAAAAACATGGCTCAACTGGTCTCGTTCATACTGGATCATGGAGAGTACATATAGGCAATGTACGAAATCAATATGTACATATATGGATGTATAAAAATTTTTCTCATCTGGATGAATTTGTTGATTATTCAAAACAAAGTTTAACTTCAAATAAATTAAATGAACATATTATTCAACATTCAAATCAAATTTGTCTTTCATTTTCTTATTTCGGTTTGAATATAAAATTACTTTCTTTTTTAAACGATTATTACTTTTTTTGTTCTTCACGGAAAATAGGAATTCCTCAACCAAAATCAAAATCCGATGATCAATCCAATCCAAATATCTATGAAATGCGTTCATATTGGCTTAAACCAGGTACATTAATTGAATGGGGTAATCTATGGCATAAAGGTGTTCAATATCGACCTGATGCTAAAGTTCTTGGTGTTTTTTCACAAATCGGTGAACTCTATAATGTTCATCATATGTGGTCGTATAAAAATTTTCAACATAGGAAACAAATGCGTACTAATGCATGGGCTAAACCCGGTTGGTCTGAAAAGTATGACTTGAAAATTATTATTCTCTTTTTTGTTTATTATTAATTGTTTTTCTTGTTGCTTAGTGTCGAATATACGGTTCCATTAATTCGTAAAATGGAATCAAAAATACTTGTACCCTTACAAAATTCACCAATGCAATGAAACGAGAAAATGCACTGTTTTTTTCATGCTGAATGAAACATGATGAACAAACAATGATAGTTTGTTTTTAATGGATTTAAATTTTTTCTTTCTCTTTTTAATTATTAGAAAAAAAACTAATTATTCTAGCTGATTCACATGTATAATAAAATCAGTGCTATTTTTTCCTTATATTTCTTTGTTTTAAGATTGTTAAATCTTTTTAATATACTTATTGAAATGGCACAAGCAGTGACGAAAGCTGCCGATAGTACATCATCTAGTCAAGAAATTAAAGAAACACCAAAAATAGACATCGAAGCCCTTGAAGAAGTAAGCAAATCTTTATTTTCATTTCAGTTCAATAGACGAAAAGAAAATATTTTACAGTTGATTGTATTCGCTTCTATTTGAATGTTAATCGAATATGGATATCGTTGATCTCAATCTCTCTCTCTTTGATTTTTTTTCAGAGAATCTAAAACATGTTCTCAAATAGGTAATCATTAATTTTATGAGTGCGTTTTCGCTGTGTTGAATAGTATAAGTGTATTATAAAATCAAACCAGCTTTGTCGGATATATTATATCAAAATTAGTAATTTGTCGCTGCGTCATGTTTGCATCAGCTAGTATACCGGCGACAAAAAAAAATGTGAACAAACCCTAATTATATATATTTAGTTAATTTTTGTTTTGCTATTTAAAGTTTAAAGACGTATAGCATGATAAAGAAGAATTGTCTCTTTTTCCTTAGCTTATAACCTTGCATTGAATAAGTAGCATTATTTTGCATGTATTATAAGTAAATGATTAATTCACCATGAATAGTCATCCGTCTTAATTCTTCTATTTCGTCTTTTATATAATTTAAATATTTATGAAATAATTATCGGAAATGATGCATGAAAAGAAACAAAGTATACGACTATTTGCCTAGAAAAATATCGAATCGTTATGTAAAATTGATATACTGAAGTCACACGAAATATGCATCAACTCAGCGAAGAGCCGCATAGAACTCAACATTTACAACACGTAAGAATATATAGATACTGTGATTGCGCATTGTTATATTTTCTTTCGATTTTTCTCTTTTTTAATGACTTATATCTGCTCATCAGATGGTTTCAATTTTGATTGTAATCGAACAAAATTATTATTTTCTCTTAAGGCTGATACAATCGGTGAACTTCGATCGGAATTTGCTGCTTCGAGTCCTGATGCAGCATCAGCATTGGCCAATTCTCCATTTAGTAAATATCGAGGTTCTGTTTCATGGGTTGAAGGTTTTGAAAAGAATCTTCACATTCTTGCCAAAAATCAATATCCCGGTCGATCTATGGGTGTATTTACAAGTGGTGGCGATGCTCAAGGTATTATACATCATCTGCATATGATCTGAATTTATAAATGAATATTATATCATTTTAGGAATGAATCCTGCCGTTCGAGCAATTGTTCGTATGGGCATTTATCTTGGCTGCAAAGTCTATTTTATACATGAAGTAAAAACATTATACCTATATGAAAAAGAACCAGCATTATATAGTTTTCGTTGAATAGGGTTATCAAGGTCTAGTCGACGGTGGTAATAGTATTCACCAAGCAACATGGGCATCTGTTTCGGGTATTATCGACGATGTAAATAAATATATAGAATATTTAAAGTTTGCGTTATTTTTTTCAATAGAATATTTTTATCATATCTAGGGTGGAACTATCATAGGTAGTGCACGTTGTAAAGAATTTCGGGAGCGCCCCGGCCGATTACGTGCTGCGAAAAATTTAATTGAACATGGTATTAATAATATTGTATGTATTGGTGGAGATGGTTCGTTAACCGGTGCACATTTATTTCGTGAAGAATGGGATAGCCTTCTTCAAGAACTTGTTGAAAAAAGTAGATATGAAATATTTTTCTCGATTTTGGCATAACAAAATGCTGTTCATATATTTCTAGAGGAAGTTACACAAGAAAATGCTAGTACATATAAACATTTAAATATTGTTGGTCTTGTTGGATCGATCGATAATGATTTTTGTGGTACTGATATGACCATTGGAGCTGATTCTGCTCTACATCGTATTATGGAAGCTATAGATTGTATTACCACAACAGCTTCAAGGTAAAATATTATTGTATTAATTTGAAAATAATTCTATCAATCGTATTCTAGTCATCAACGTTGTTTTGTTCTTGAAGTAATGGGTCGCCATTGTGGCTATTTAGCATTAGTAAGTGCGCTTGGATCCGATGCCGATTGGGTATTTATTCCTGAAGCACCACCTGGACCTGGATGGGAAGATCAACTATGCAATAAACTTCAAAATGTAATTTTGCTTCTTACGGTTGAGCTACGGTTTTTAAGTTAGAATCATTATTTTAATAGACACGAGAAATGGGACAACGTTTGAATATTATTGTTCTTGCTGAAGGTGCCATTGATTCTAATGGCAAACAAATAAGTAGCGAAGATGTTCGTCAGGTAAAAAATCTGTTCTGCTATTAAATAATGAATAATTAATGTTAATGTTTCAGCTCATTTCAACTCGACTGAAATATGATACACGAATTACTATTCTTGGTCATGTTCAACGAGGTGGCAGCCCATCCGCATTCGATCGACTTCTTGTATGTAGCTACTTCTTAAATATATATATCAATGTTTGTGTTTTCCTTTAGGCTACACGAATGGGTACAGAAGCTGTTCTTGCATTAATGGAAGCTACTTCAACATCACAGCCCGTTGTTATTGCTCTTAGCGGTAATCAAACAGTTCGTGTACCATTATTGCATTGTGTAAAAAAAACTTTGGCTGTTGCTGAAGCCATGAGTGAAAGACGATTTAAAGAAGCTCAGGAATTACGTGGTAGAAGTTTCAAAGGAAATCTTGAAACATATATTCGTCTAAGTAAATTAAGACCAAAATTATTCTCAAATAAACAGGTATTTCATTTTTCGATTAATATTGATTTATCATTACAAAGATCAAATAATTGATCCGGCAGATCCATGCCTTTTTAATCACATATCTATATTACTTCTCTATGATTATTCCTTCAATCGCTACAATCAGTTTATAATTAATAAAATTGAAATATTTATCCTTGCCATTGATTATTTGATAGAAACTTATAGAAATGAATTTTCTTTTGATTTTTGTCGTAATAATTAATTCGATGCAAAATCTTAAGAAGTGGATCCAAAACTGACCCAATTAAATTCTATCAGTCATTTTCATAGGAAATGTTCAAATCCTAATGATTGAGACTCAAACAGAATTGAATGAAAGCTACTTTAATTCTTACTTCATCTGTCTATAATTTTTCTTATAGCTGACAGTAATCTACCACATATTCTATCAAGATGCGTGAACATCAAGAGTATGTTCGAAGTCAAAGGTCATTCATCATTCATTGTTAGGTATAGTAAATCGAGTGGCTCTAAAATTTACAAAAAAACAACGATTACTTATCCATCATTAAAGAAAGTTTTCTTGTAACTAACTATTTTTATTTGCAGCATACAGAAGTAAGTAGAACACGAGAAAACTCTATGCATGATTGTGGATTTTTTGCTCCGTGTTTACTACTTATTGATAATAAGATATTGATATGATTTTGCTGATATTTGACTCCTTCGTGAGAAATATAATCAAAAATCATTTTAGGGTGTTTAAACAAATAGAATAAATCCTTTATTTATTTCTGGTTTAGCATTCATTTAATTTGGCTGTACTCAATGTTGGTGCGCCTGCTTGTGGTGTCAATGCAATCGTACGTTCCATTGTTCGTTATGGTTTATGTGAAGGACATAATATGTTTGCTGTATTCGATGGATTTGAAGGTTTAATTAATAATCAAGTACGAAATATTATTTTTTTGAACAAAAAAAAAGACAGAAATCGAAAGCGTCGATCTCTTGAATTAAATTCTAGGTTAAAAGTTTACATTGGATGGCTGTCAATGGTTGGAGTAGTGTTGGAAGTTCATTACTTGGTTGTCAGAAGTAAAGGATGAAAAACTGTTTTATTGAAAAAAAAACAATTAAACCTTTTCTATTTCATTTAGAACAAGTGCAAGTAAAGTTGGTTTAGGATTAATAGCAGAAAAAATTCGTGAACACAATTTTCATGCCGTATTAATTATCGGTGGATATGAAGTAACAACAACAACAAAATAAACATGAATTTAAAAGATTTTACTTATAAAATTATGATTCTTTTTTTCAGGCTTATTTGTCTGTTCTTGAAATGTACGAAGCACGAAATAAATATTCGCAATTCCAAATACCACTTATTTGTATTCCAGCTACTATTTCAAATAATGTACCCGGTACAGAATTTAGTATTGGTGCAGATACTGCACTTAATGAAATTGTTCATGTTCGTATTAAACGCAATAAAGTAAACGTAAATTCATGTTTCTATTTTATTAATTTAGATCTGTGACAAAATTAAACAATCTGCTCAAGGTTCAAAACGACGTATATTTGTTATTGAAACAATGGGTGGCTATTGTGGTTATTTGGCTACAATGGCTGCACTTGCTAGTGGTGCCGATCAAGCATATATCTATGAAGAGCCATTTACAATAAAAGATTTAATAGATGATGTAGATCATTTACGTAAGAAAATGGAAGGACATTTAAAACGTGGTTTATTACTACGAAATGAGCTGGCTAATGAACATTATACGACAGAGTTTATTACAAAATTATTACAAGAAGAAGGTAAAGGTGTATTTAGTGCACGAAGTAATGTTCTCGGCCATATGCAACAGGTAAATATAGAAATTTGTTCTACTAGAGAAGATATTTTCGATTAACATTTTTAATATAATTAGGGTGGTTTACCATCACCATTTGATCGAGCATTTGGTACAAAATTAGGTTGTAAAGCAGTTACATATGCCGTATCATTAATTGAAAAAGCAGCAACTGAAGATGGGAAAGTTACTTGCAATACTGCGGAAAGTGCTGTTGTGTTAGGCCTAATCAAACGGCAAAATGAATTTACACCTGTTGAAATTCTTAAAGCCAACACTGATACTGAGTAAATCATTAATATTATTTTCTTTTGTCTCTCTCTAATTACTTTGTCTCTAGACATCGTATGCCACTTGAACAATGGTGGCTTAAACTTCGACCATTACTTCGTATATTAGCTAAACATGAAAGTGTATACATAGGTGATTTCGTCGAAACAGGTCTTGAAGACGTGGACTAGTAAACACACATCTTTTGGTGTCTTATTATTATTTTTTTGTAGTAAACCTCAATTACTTTATTCAATGCACACTTGAATTATATTCAGTTCTACGTCTCTTTTCGCTCACTTCTCTCCACGAAAATATGAGCTGTATTCATTCTATTACTCTTTCTAGACTACTGTAGTTTATTATACCTCTTTAATTTTTATAGAGTACGTTGTCTATATTTTATTGATTTTTTTTCTTATTTAAAATAACAATAACACTAACAAAAAAAATTATATTTAGAAATAAACTATCTTTTTATCCGCTTATTTTGCATGTTTTATTATTTAATTAGATATATTTGTACTCGAGAAGTATGCTTGTCGATGTAGTTGACCGATCACTAAATAGGATGAATAATTTGTAATACAACCATCGATAGGTTCTTTTTCATGCTTATTACACACTGGGCAATAGAGATACTAGACTTACCGTATGCATTCAATTTTTTTAACGTATAGTATAATTAGACGCAGTGAAAGATGAAAGAAAACTGTATGGGATGAGTGACATACAAAAATATTGCTCATCGATATATATGAAATATGACAAATAATTTTTCCGTTCATTCATTTTGTATCTAACAATCGCAGTAGTAGTAGCTTAAGAAATATCAAAAATAACGAGAGATCATGTCTATTTATTGAACTGTTATCATTCTTACTGTTCTGTTTCTGTTTTGTTTATGAACACAGTTAATTCATACTGACTTGATTGAAAAGTTCGCACACAAATAATATTGACTTTAGTCTCAATAATTGATCAATGTCCACTTGAAAGTTAAAAAAATAATGCTTTCAGGACATTTTAATCAAGTTTCAAGTATTCGGAGTTATTGTTTTCAAAGTAACAATAATATTGTAAGGGTACGAAATCAGTATGAGCTACTATTTTATAAGACACTATATATCCTTAAAGTAATATAATAATAATAAAAATAGAAAACGTTAAATATATATACGAGTTCTATGTTTAAAAACAATTTCTTGTATCAACAGCAAAAAGAAATCGATATTTTCTTTTATAGATATGATTGCTTTTTTTTCTAGCCTACATAATATCCTCTTATATTACTGGATTGAGCAAGCAAATGAGTAGTCCGTTTTATGCAAATAACTATTACACATTGACTTGAATATATATACATATATAATTACATATCTCTCATTTTACTCTGTTTGTATAACTTGGAATGTTTCATTTCGCTCTTTTTTGCTTTATTGGAGCACAGCTGTTTCACACCCATATGCACAATGTCTGAACAAAAGAGAGAGAACAACGACTTTTTCTTTACTATATTATCATAGACATGCAATTACAAATCTCTTACTTTTCTCCTTTATTCGACATAGTGTGCCATCTAATCTCACATTGCGGCTTTATTCATTGGTCTTTCTCTTTCCTGTTGCCTTTTTCTTTCTTTTTCATTTTTTATTTATAGATGATTGATAGTTGTTGCTGTTCTGTTTGACCATTAACACGCCGTACTCATTCTTGTTCGTCTTCTTCATCTACTAGCTACTGCGCCTCGACTACTGGCTGTATTTTGTGTTTGACTATTGACAACGATAACTTTTTCTTCTCTATCATTCTTTCTCTATCGATCAATCAGTGACGAATAAGACGACGATGACAACTGTTAACGACAGTGGTGATGTACAGGTGAAAGACAAAAATACAGCACCATTAGAAGCAAATAGTAATAGTAGAGGTGATAATATGAGCCAATTACCGACCACCTCTACCAATGATGAAACAGCAACAACAAAATCACAAGAACCTACATTAGAACAAGCTTTCTTCTTTGGTTTATCTATCGATGACGCAGTTAATTCAGCTGACAATCTTATGGAATTATTTTATAATGCATGCAAATTTAATCATTTAGAAATTGTAAGAAGATGTGTTGAAGAAAAAAATATCAATGTTAACGAACTATTCAATAATGATTATCCATTATGTATTGCTAGGTAAATTATTTATATAGTAAAGATTTTTTTCAAGAAGGAAAACAAAAACAATTCTATTAATTGATATAATTCTATGTTATTATTATTTTTTGTCCATTTAAGTCATAAAGGTCACATTGAAATAGTTCGTTATTTATTGGCTCATGGTGCTGATGTTCATCTCAAACGAGAATTGAATCTATCAAATACGCGTGGTACTAATCGTTTGACGCGTGGCACTGTTACTTATGGTGACAGTACACTTTCGCTTGCTGTCAAATATGGGTTCGAAGATCTTGCTATGGTGCTTGTTGAGCATGGTGCCGATATATTGAATTCGAATGGAGATTTTGAAAAATCTGCATTACAAGATGCTATTCGGCTTAATCGTTCGCGTATATTAAACGTTTTTATGGATAAGCTTAAAAATACAAAAGCAACATCAGATTACGATGAAACATTATTACTACAGAAGAAAGGTGATATACTTCGTCAATGTCTTATTAATGATCAAATTGAAGCATTACGCATTTTTGTACCCAATGTATGGGAAGAGCTTAACAGTGATTTTATGTTCACTGTCCTAAGTAATCTTATGTTAAAGAATAAAATTCAATCAGATAAAGCGTTCGATGTATTAGAAGCCATACTTGATGCTATTCCGACGCCAAAATTAAAAATGTATGATATTGGAGATTTACTGAGACGATTTTTACATATTTTACAGGCACAATTTGTAACAATCAATGATGATCGAATTCAAATGCTTTATTTACGTACATCACTTCTTTTCACAATACTTAAATACCATGAAACAGTTGATTTTACTAATTATCTAGATCTATTAGATGCATATTTTCGTGGTATTTATCACAGCGTTGAAAGTACAGGTAAAAAAATAAAAAAATGTATTTGAAGATAAATTTCTATGTAATGACATTTTTAGGCGAAGGAATAAATCAAATCTATGAATATATCGTTCGCTTTTATGAAAATCTTATTTTAATGGGTCATCTTATTTTGACGAATAACACTGTTATATTGAAATTACTCGAATGTGAACATGTTCAACAAATGCAGCCGATCGACATGTATCTCTCATGGCGTGCACGCAATCCATTTCAACTCAAAGAGACTTGTCGTCTTATGGTAAAAAATGCATTACCATCTTATAAACATGATGTACTCAAAAAGCTAAATCTTAACGAAGACACGTTTTATTATTTGTATTATCAACGATAGCTATTTGACATTATCATATACACTCGCAATAATATTATTCAGTGTTTCTTAGTCGTGATACAACAATAATTATATTTACTCTGTTTTGTGTGTTTAATCAATCCGTATCAAAACCAAAAAAAAATAAATAAAAGAAGCTACCAGATAACCTGACATGCTAATTATAGAAAATATAATCTATTTGAATTATTACAAATTTCAAAGATTACAGTGTGTGATTATCTTTTGTTCCGTTTTCTTTTTGTACTTTCTAAAACTAATGATTAATGTCTAATAAAATAGAATAATATAAAAAAATGAGAAAACGATCAATAAAATGTTCGTTTCGTAGCGTTTAGTAAAATAATGTTTTTTTTTTAGATTAAAATGGCAACAGGAAATATTCGTGAAGCATTTCGATCATTCTTATCTTGGGCGTCTCAATCAGCCGATAAGAATTCAACTGATGATTCATCAAAAATATGTTGGATTTTCAATCTTCCACCGGAAATTCTTCAAACTATCACTGATCATTTAACAGTGCATGATATTATATCGTTGAGTCAAACATGTCAAACATTCTATACATTGATTAAGGATGACAACTTTTGGGTTCATCGTATACGTTCTCAATTTTCTCCGTCTACTGCGAATCTTTATATACTTGATTTATTTGAAAAACCTGAAACTATCCTAACGAACGATGAAACTCGTCCATCTGGCTTCGAGAATATTAGAGTAGATGGCGAACTTGATCTTGCTGCAATAAACTCTGTTACGCATTATAATGACGAAGCAATCGAAAAGCGTCATGCTAAAATGTATATATCAACAGAAGACTTTTTAACTCACGTGGAATATCTTAACTATAGAAAACCTAAAAATACTCTGAAGATTCCTTTAATGAAATTAGTGTATTTCTATTTGATTGATCGAAAACGAACTGCAGCCGTTAATATGAGTGTTATTCATCGAAATGATGTTTATCTTATTGAAGACCGTGACAAAGATAGTCTAACAGGTCGTATTATTCAGCTGCAATCTGTTTGTTGGCTTGAAATAACTGGTCGTTTTGATCATGATATTATGCCGGGAAAGTATGAAGCTATATGGCGAATGAAATGTCATGCAGTTCAAGTTCATATGTGGGGAGAAACAGAATTTAGCATTGTACCATCTCATGGGAAAATGCTAATTCGTAAAATATCTGAGAATGATTTTCATCATTATGCAGTTGAACACGGCAAAAATTGGTTTACTGTAAATATGGGTGAAATTATAGTTTATGAACGCTCGACAGTTTTAGTTGGTATACGCAATTGGAGTAATGGCAATTGGAAATCAGGCATATCATGGGATTGTATTGAATTGAAAGTCACACCATAATTCACTGTACATTTTTCTATAAATTATATATATATATATATGTCATTATTAACTACGCTAATCATATCAAATATTTTTTTATGAAGCACAATCTAAAAGAGATATTGAAGTACATAGCAGGAAACCAAGACTTAATTTCCCGATGGACATTTATGCAATACTGTACTACTATTGCTACTACTCAATTTTGCTTATGTAACTAAAAACATATGAAGCTTAATTAAACAGGGAAATTGGGTTTAATTCGTTTAAATTAATTTTTATTTATCTCCGTTTTATATTGAACGTATCGATTTACAAAATGTATTCAGACTGATTGTGTTGTATGATTTATTTTACTAGCAGCTTTTTCTTGTTACTTGTTTTTATAAGAACAATAATAAATATCCTCAAATGTATGCGACCTGAATTAGCTTGAAAACATGTGTATATTAGTTTGTCTCGACAGATGGCATTGGTTAGCATTAATAATAAATCTATTCAAGTTAATATTTTGAAATGAAATACGATATTTCCTTTCACAAAGTTAATCATTCATGATAACTAAATAAATATCAGATCATTTCTTCTATTTTAAATATTGTTTCTATAGAAACTTCAATGTTTATGCACAATAAAATCGACCGATTAAGTATCGAAAGCACATACAAATAAATATGGAAACATCAAATTTAAACCCGACTGTTATGTGTACTTCAAAAAGTAAAACTAATTGATGACAAATTGATTTTGATCAAACCATCTAAAAAAATAAAAAACAAAGTAAATATATCTTTTCACTGTTTGAAGTACACAACACTCGGATTTAAATCCGAGGTTTTCGCATTTGTTCTATAAGATATACGTGTATATCTCATCAATATACATCCCTTGTTACTAAATTGCAACGAGAAAATACGGGCGTGCTAAGTTAGCATGGATCACACTGTATGCAATCCTATCCGGTGGCCACTGACTCTACTCTCCGAGTGATATAATATCTTTAGAAATCACACAAATTGAGTCCAGATTCGTGTTTAGCTTCGAAAGCTGAGTAAGAAGAGTTACTTTTGAATGGATTCGCGTTTGTATCTAGCGGGATTACGATCGTAAGCAACCTCATGAATCTATAAGAGATATATGATAGATATGGGCATCAGTATTTTCCTAATAAATCACCAATATTAATAGCCATCGGGTTCGAGTTTTTACCTTTTGATAGTCTTTTTGACTAGCTACAAAGCCAGGCATTTGAGAAACCCCAAAACTACTGGTCATATGAGATATATCTAGGCAATTTGGTTTCTAGATGTAGTTTTTGTGCATTCTGTGACCTTTTCCAAGCAATGTTTTGTTAGAAAGCTACTATTTGGTTCAAAACTAACATCAGATTCGAAATCAGCGTTAAAAACTAAGTCGATTTATATCTGTTGTGAATAATTCTGAGAAAATTGTTTTTGTTTTGAAAAAATCCCTGTCCCCCCCCCTCAGGAATAGCCTGGTCAAAAATGACAATTTTTTCGATAACTCAGTCATTTCTTAACGGATTGCTTTGATCTTCGAACTCGACTGAGATATTGATAAAATCATTCTGTATACAAAATTTCATGACAATTGGATGAGACTTTCAAAAGTTATCGTGTTAACGGATCGACGGCGGGACGGACACACTGACCGAATCTAGAGTGTACTCACTTTTTGAGTTCACAAAAAGGAAATAAAATCTCTTGCTGTCCGATTTTTTAGTTTAAATGACAAACAAAAAGAAAACAATTCACGCGGTCTTCTACACATGATTAACTGAATAGCTAAACATCAAATATGACAAATGAAACTGAAGAAGGTAAACCAAGAGTTCGTGGTGCATCTTTCTCACTAGAACCAGTCGACGAGGAACCTGCAACTAATACAACTATCGCTGAATTAGTTCAGAATAGTACATTGTTAAACCACCATGCGTCTCCTCATCCTCATACATCGATAAATAAAACTCAACAACGTAGCCGTCGTCGAAGTAGTGTATCTATTCTTCAAGCACTTGCTCAAGCTCAATTACTTGCTACGCATGATGCTCGAAAACGGTACACGAAAGCAAAAAAATGATATTTTGATTTTTTTTAATGAAATAAAAATGTTATTTTTCTTTAGAAATTTTCTTGTTGGATCTGGGCGACAAGTACCAGAGAATGTTATGAATGATATTTCTTCGTGCTTTCCAAATGGACGACTACTAACAATAATGGTAGCAACATGGAATACAGGCGAAGCATCAGAATTATATGAGCAGAATTTTACACCGACAGCTCGTAACACAGCTAAACCAAAAGAACGTATGCTTGATGATATGTGTGATATATTATTGCCGACATTTCTTGATTATGTTTCTGATTTAATCGTTATTTGCACGCAAGAAACGTCTGTAACAAAAAATAAGTATTGGTTAAAATGAATATTTTTTGTTTATCTCTATCTAAAAACTGTTCTTTAATGTAGAACCGATTGGGAAGTTTTACTTCAAGAAGTAATTGGCCCAGTTCATGTGCTATTTCATTCGCTTCAATTTGGTACTTTATCATTATGTATATTTTTACGGCGAGATCTGATTTGGTATTGTACTGGTATGTTAAATAGAAAAAATTCAATAGTCTAAAGTTACAATTTTATTAATTCCATTAGAACCTGAAGAAGATATCATCAAATTTCGAGCTGTTGGTCCTTTTCGTACAAAAGCTTCATTAGTTATAACTTTTAATCTTTTTGGTACCTCATTTATGATAATTAATTCACATTTTGAAGGTAAAAATAGCATTATTATAGTTAATTGGAGTTTTTCTATTATATTCTTTTTTGTTTAGCTGGTGAAAATCAAGAACATCGATTAAGCCGACAATTAAACTTTCAAAATACATTAGGAAAATTATCTATACCACATGAGTTTGTTCAAAGAAGTCTTTTGCCAAGTCGATCTCTGGCAAATTTTCCAATTGCAGAAAGTTTGAAGCACGTTGATTCAACAACATCACTTGATTCTGCTCTATCTACAGACGTAGGTAAAATTTGTATTTAATTTATGATGGTGGTTCTTAATTCAATAAAGTGTATATTTACTTCAATAGATGGCGCACAAGCATGCGATTGTCTCATATGGGCAGGTGATATGAATTTTCGAGTTGATATGCCAAATCAAGAAGTATTAGCCCTTTGCGAAGAAAACAATTACGCTGAGATTTTACGGAAAGATGAATTCCGTATGTTACAACAGAAAGCAGGTAAATAGTTGTTGTATTTTTTTCTTTGGAATTAAATTCACATTAGGGTTTACTTTTTTTTCATGTTATATAAGGTGATCGGTATTTTGGCTTTAAAGAAGCGGAGATTACTTTTCCTCCGACATATAAGTTTGATTTACACTGCCATGACGATACTTACGCTAAAAATCGAACACCATCTTATACAGTAAGAATAATTTATGATTAAATTAGATAGTTTTTTTCTCTCGGATTGATTTGGTTGGTCTATGAATGAAGAGTTTTTGTTACAAGTCTAAAATATGATTCAGTCGGTTTATAAACGTGTAAAATTTAACATAGATTAAATTAATAGACGCGAAGTTTTCCTATTAATATCTATGTATAGATCACTGGAAAAACCCCTATAGGGACTAATGCACTAATCATTTGAAATATTACCGCTATTAGTTTTCACTGAATACAGTAGATAAACTACTACTATAGAACAGTGTGCAGCAAGTGTTAATCTATAGCCGAAAACCTCATGAAACGATACTATAGAGTATCGATTTCGCTTGTATACGATGTACTGTAATCTTCGTCCTGAAGGTTTTTTCTTTGTGTACGATTAGTGAGTTTGTGACGGAATACTAATGAATTTGATGTAAACGATAGTAAGCGAGGTCAAGTTTTGCACTACAATATGATTCAAAATAAATATTTAAGTGATATAATTTATTTAAAAGGACCGTATTATCTATCGTGATAAACCAACATCACAAATTCAATGTACACAATATCAATCTGTTCAGAATGTAAAACATTCTGATCATAAACCTGTTGTTGCTCATTTTAATCTTAAACTTAAACCTGGTTTGCATAAGTACGTCTAATCAAACAAATTTTCGATTTTGTCTTCATTGACACATATTTTAGAGGAAATCTAGCCTATGGAAAATTCGATCATGAAGTTTACAAGCGTGGTAAGTATTATTTTTACTATAAGCTATAAAAAAGATTTTGGCTTCTATTTTTTGATTAGGTTGTGAACAACGTGAACGACATCACTCATTAGGTGTCGGCATAGTAAATGATGCGAAACGTCGAACAGCTAATTCTAAAAGTTCTGTTTGTGTTCTTCAATGAATTCTGGTTTTTTTGTGCTAACGAGTGATCATGGACCCTATTTTGATATGAAATGAGTTTTTATTTTTAACGCATCCGATTTTTATAAATGAAACATTGATAATATAATGTGATCCTAAGATATTTTGTAATAGTTCCATTTTTTGGCTTAATGAACATTATTTTTACCAACAATCGATGTGAATGGATTGCATTTATTTGCTTATATTTAAGTCTATTTTAGTATGAAAACACATTGGAATGATACACCAAGTAACATCTGCCCGAGTAGAACACCCTACGTATATTCGTAGATTTCGATGTAACATTTTTTCATAGAAATAAAATCCGAGGATTATTTATTGTTGCTATTTTTCATAGATTTCATTTTATTTCCTGTTTTTCATACAGCTTAGTCCTTGCTGACGAAAGACAATGCTTCAGAAACAAAATCTATTTACATTAAACATCATGCCGACCATGCTCAATAATTATTCGATCAGTGTAAACAACAAATAGAAAGTTCTAGAAAATTGTCGATTTACGCATAGATGATAAAACTAATAATAGCAGCAAAAAAGAAGTAAACCTCTCTATAGTGGACACCTTTCGAACTTTTCAAAAGTGTTCACTATAGAGAGGCTATGCATTTTCAAATGTTTTTCTCTTTTAAAGATACAGGCATTCTTTTTAAGCGTCGAGGGCATTAGTGAATAAAATAGTCACATGGAGTACCTTATTACTTTTTTTATCAAGTATTTTTTCAAAATATAAAAGTCAACAATTGTCAAAATAATTTTTGATAGACCTTTGTTTGACTGATTTCTTAATTATGCTTTCATTTTATGCCTTCTTTCGAATTGGAAATGTAATCAGGGAATTTTCACACCGATTAAAATTGGGTGACACTGCTTTTTTCTATGCTGCATGTGTCGGTCAGTTTTCATAATGATAAACAGGTCACTTTTGGTTGCCTTTGATTCGTACGATTTTTCTTGCAGAGTAATGACTCATCTATTCAGTATAATCTTATTTTGCTCTTAATAGTGGCATAAAAAACAAATCTATAAATATCACAATGCGATTGTACACATGCCCGTCACTCGTATTCAACACAGAGGATGCATTCTCTCGCTCCCACAAATATATCTTTTTTCATTCTGCTGTCAGATCATTAAATAAAAGACGCTATTCTGAATGAGTAATGATGATAATCGAGACATTTTTCTTGAATTCATGGTTAGTGTCCACTATGGGAGGTTCTATTGTATTATGAAGGGCAAAAACTCGTCAAAGATAAATAGCATAGATTGAAGTACTGATTAGATTGTTAACTATATACAATGAGAAAAAATCACTAAATTTGAAACATCTGTTATATCAGCGTTTCTGCTCGATCTGATTTTGATTTTGACAGACGCTTGAGAGCTATAGTCTCTGAAATAATTAGTGAGAGTATTTTCCGATAGTTCAATCTTGAAGAAATAAAATTACATACACATTCGTACAAACTCTCATTCACAGTTTGATAGAAATAACGATATTCAATGTCAAGCATTAGTGAATCAAGCAGCATGCAATAATCTAGGGTTATGAACAGTAGAAATACTACTAAGATACGTGGAATTCTGTATCACCCTTTGATGGAAGTGAAAATCAGAAAAAAACGATTTCATTCATTTATTTGATTAAATTGCATTAGTTGAAGTTCAGAATGAAAGCGAGATGTAATATAAACGTCAGAATAAATATAAAAAAATTGAATGCTTTCAAGTTAATGAAGTTTTTCAGTCATCATTATGATTGAGGAATGATGAGAAGTGCTCAAAAAACATAAAAGTAAAAAAGATTGATTGATCGAAATACTCGTCACTATTTATAAAAGAATGTAGATAAAAAAATTGATTCACCATGAATTGATTATCTTCGAAGTTCTGAAAAAAATAAAAGCTAAAAATCGACTAAACAGAATTTACATTGCTGTTGGCCTCCTTCCGTGATAGTTCAAGCGCTTTTTGTATTGCCCAAATGCTCAATGGACGCATATATCCACACTAAAACAAAAGAATAAATTGAAGTCTTTTTGTTTATTATTCCGCATGTAATCCAGACCAAATACTTACAGATCGAAAACGAGAGTTACTCGTTAAAGCTTCAGGTGTTTGAAAAGCCAAACCAGCTATATTATAACAAGTATTATAAATACCTTCGGATGTGAGAAGAGCTTCATAATTAAAATTCTAATAAAAAAGTCAAGTGTTGAACAAAAACATAATTAAAACACAGAATTTAGCAAAATAAAAATATTACTTCCATAATCATTGTAGATGATAAACCATAGGTAACACCAGTCCATATTTCTTCTGATTGTAAACTAACAGTTTCTAATTGTCCTGATTTTGTCATTCCATTAACAGCACCCATTGTGCCATTACACAATTGCATTACATTCATTTTAAATATTGTGTCAAGTACACTATTTACACGCTCTTTTTCGAAATCCTTCGAAGAAAAATTTCATTGAAACATCTAAAATCTATTTTCAAATCTATTCACTTCATATTTATGACCGGTTAAACGTAGATACCAAAAACCAGCTAGTTGATCAGACATAATACTATCGTGATGAGATGATGCACTTGAATCATAATTATAGTATTGACCTAAAAGTGCAGAAAGAAAACTTATCGTAAGTTTATATACTCTAATGACGATGTTAATCGTGTGATTATATAAGTGCTACTTTTTGAAACGATAGGAACTCAATGTGGTGATGAAAAACTTAGTGAAATTTGCCAAAAGTGATCAAAACAACGCCACAGAAAACAAGAAACTTGAGCGAGAACAAGCATGATTGATTCAGTTTTGATAACCTACACAGAAAGATTTATGTAATGCGTATCTGTTCGGTGCTCATCCATTTATTTCAAAAACACAATTGCGAGAAAGAGGCATGCAGTTTTCTTGCTTTGTTGAACTTTCTTTTTGTGTCTTAGCGTTAATTCATTTAGGCCACATTTCTAATGGCAAGCTACAGCTCGGGGCTTAGGCGGACAAGTGAGACCCCCGTACTCTAGTGCAGGGTAGTTTCGCTTTTCTATCCGCTTATTCAAATAAATTTTTAACTTTCTAAAAGGCTGTGATTATTTGTAAAAACACTTGACATATAAAACGAGTAGGATGCGAGTTATCTTGTAAAGCATGTCTTGATCATGAAAATATTTCTTCTTCATAGAATCCGCACTCTATTGAATATTTGGGTTTAGTTGTAATTTTGGAACGAAGAAAAGAACAGCAATGATGCTTTTTATGTTGTCACGTTTTGGAGGATGTTTTTCAAGAATATATGAAGAGAGAAAAATATTTTAGCTTATTTTTCTCAAATTTTTCGTTATTTAAGTAAGAAAATATGACAGTTTGCCACTGAATTCGATCGTAAAAAATCTTATCGCTAATAGAAAAATCTCGATAAATTATTCAAATCTATGCATCTGATGGAACTAGACGTGAATGTTCGAGTCTACTACTGCTTCACAATATCGTTGTCAACTCAAATTAAAATCGTCGATTCTTTAAATTAACTATTGAATGAATCAGGTTGACTGACCGTTCCATAATTTTTCTGAATAAGAATTCTTTGCTAACTGAAGCCATTCACTGTATTCATTTACTAGATCGTTATCATTCATAATTTGAGCCATTTCAATACAAAAACGAAGCGCAGCTATCTGTAAACCTCCACAATAAGCACTAAAAAATAAACAATTCATATTATTCAACAGCAATAAAAAAATTGAGAAAAACCTTGCTCCAGCGGCTGTCCATGCATCATAGGTTTGATCAGCAAATCCACCATTATCCACTAGACCATCTTTGTCTGTGTCTTGTTCTCTCAAATGAGTCATAACACTCTATGAAAATCGTAATATTGAAATTTGAATCTATTTCCTATCATTCTTACTTGTATGGTTGGCCATATATGATTAAGAAATTCGCTATTTTGTGTGTACACATAATCTCGATAGACTTGCAGAACATATTTTGAGCCTAAATCTTTCCACTCAGCTGTATCATGTGCAATATAAGCATTAACCAATAGCCAAGGCTCTTCATCTATGAAAATAGAATTTTTTTAATACAAAAATAAATCGATAGACTCTACGCTGAATTACCAGGATCGCCTTGATCATGAGGAACAGAGTTTAACATTTTTCGTCGACCTGTTTGGCCGTGGAACAAATAAACACGTGGCTCAACATTTTCATGTGGAATTGTACTAGCTAAAATAGTAAAGTGATTTTGTTCATTTCATCAACATGAATACAATAGATTTCTTTACCGTATTCATACTGAATACTGAGTTCTAATTCAGGCCATAATTGTATCAAAGCAAATGAAGCATAGAAATGAACATCATAGGTATTAACCATTCGGTATTCATGACCTTAACATCATATTCCATGGGTGAAAAAACAACTCGTGGAATCAAAAACAATGAATTACCCTCTAAATATCCAAATCGCCCCCATTTTCTAACATGTTCAGATAGTGTTGTATCTTCACTTACATCGAGCCAAACGGAACCACTATCCGCTACAAAATATGATTCATTAAATAAAGCACTTTTATACCAATCTGGTAATAGTCTAAAAGAAGCAAAGCATTTCAAAAAATTTTTTTTATAAATTAAATTCAATTACGAATCATCTAGAATCGGTTTTTGCCATTCATTAATAGCTTTCTCCCATTTCATTCGATTATCTAATGTATAAAGGCAAAGTTTTGTCCCATTTAACGTTGGCTTATCAAAACATGTCGTATACCATCTAATAGAAACGAAAGCAGTGTTCGTTATCAAATGATATATTAACAAAATGACCTACTTTGAATATAGTTGTTGTCCAAGGCCAAATTTAATTTCTGGCATATGCCAAGCAAGTGCGAATTCGATCGGTTTTATCGATTTCGCTTCAACATTTGTTGTTATACATACACAACTAGCTGTATTTAAAGTTGCTGATCTTGCAGTTGGTGATTCCATTTCTATTAATCGGCCATCATCAATTAAATCCATCCAAACACTTCGTCCTTCGACATCTGAATCGAGATTAAAATTTGTTCGTGTTGTAACTAAATTATCTAACTAGAAAAATTCCAATTTGATTACATTTGATTATTTAAATGGCGAATAGAACAAACTTCTTTTTTCCCCAATATACAATATTCAAGTTGCATACCACGTAATTTTTGTTTTATCGATACACCACTAGCTGCTGATAGCTCATCGCTATCGTCAGAGATATGAACTGGTTCATGAGAAATATCTTGGCATAAGAATTCATTGGTAGCTAAACGGAGAAAAAAAACAGAAAATTACCAAATGAGAAATATGTTGGAAAAAAACCTGATCCTGCTTGCCATGTAAACATCAGACTGACTTCAATTGGAGCATCATTTAAATTCTCGACATTCCAAACAAAAGAAGCAACTGGAAGTGAAGAATCCTAAATGAAAAAAGAAGATAAGAATGTGTTTTTCAGATCGAATTTTAAAATTTGATTGATAGGTACTTTATAATTATGAGGTATAAACGGTGATATTTGTTTACATAATAATCGTACATTTTGTCCAGGCAGATCATAGGTCGTCCATGATTGTGGATAGAGTGCTTGGTAATGGCCATATTCTTTTGGAAATGCAGTATTCCACATATGTAGTCCTTTCTGTCGTAAACGATTTGTTGTTAACACTTGACAATAGTTCGTCGTATTTCGACGACGAATACAAACAGTGAACTAATAGAAAATATTCAAATGAAAAGCATCAAAAAAAAATAATACGTATCCAACAAAATCAACTAACTGTATTTGCTTCAACAGTTTGAAATTCATAAAGACCGGGTACAAGTTGATAACGACAGAATTCTCCTTTAAATCCTCGCCCGATTGTTCCACAGCCCAAGCCACCAATTGGTGCACCTATCAGAAAAGAACGCAATGATAGACAAAACGACGTTTCTAGCTATCCATCCAATCACTTATGATGAGTAGTAAACAGAAATGTCTGGTGAGATTTTTGTTTTGTACCTTAGCTTGTTTGAACTATGACAAAAGAATCGCTATGAATCTGAATAATTATAGCTTTGCAAGTGACCGCAACGGATGTTCTCCCAGCAAAGTCGTTGCAAAGCATTTTATCAATACACGAACCTCAATGATGACTGATTATATGGGAACACTACGGAGTTCTTCTTTTGTGATTATCTAACAACTAATAATATGTAATCTTTTTACCATAGATTTGTTGCAGTGGTACTGGGTTAATAAAATCCATATGTGCTCGTCGTTTTTCTTTTCTCAAACGATACCATAGAGGAAGATATCTATTAAAATTTCGAACAACCATTTTATTTTCTCATTCAAACTCATAGAATTAACCTCGCGAATAAAGGAATGTATTCCAGTAGTTGTTTGAATCGTGGTCTTGAGAATGGTTTCCATTTAGAATCGAATTCTTTATCAAAACTAACATGCCAACCGTATTTAGTTGGTATTAACTGATCAAGATTAGATAAGGACATGAATAAATTAATCTAAAAACAAGAAAAAAAAGTTAACCTAGACACATCATCATATATTATTATAATTTTAGATTGTACAACGAGAGTACATCGTTTTTATAATCGTTTAAATTTTTCAATTCATTCTCAGCACCTTCATCTTGAACACGAGTTATACTCGCGCGATATCGTTCGACAAGTTTTTTATTATGATCAAGAACGGAGTTTGAATCAACTGACGATGGGTTTTGCTAAAAATTGATAAAACATGATCTTTGTTTAGTATGTATGAAACTTAGAAAATGATTTATAATAAAGACCTCAGATGCTTTGAGTATATCAAGTAATCGAGCGCGCGAAGGACTTTTATCCCAATAATATGCTTGCCAATCATTCTTCGTTTTATCTACTTCCCAATTTTCAATTTTCTAAAATAAAATAAAATAAAAACATCAGACTTGGCGTTTTAAAAAGCAAAATTCTTTTACCCAAGACTCGAAATACAATGCTGTCAATAAATATTGAGCATAATCATAATTTTGCTTTCGATATGGACATCTAAAACAGTTATGAGTTATTTTCTGTTATTGAAATTTGAGATGAAAAAAACTGCCTACTGAAAACTACACATCAACGGCTTTTTTTGCAGAGTATGGAATGCTTATGCCTAATCCTACGGACAATAATAATCTCTTTATTATGAGTAACATGTATAGTTTATTATCTACTTGTAGAATGTGAGAAAAGGTTGTATGGTAAGCAAGAATAGAAACTAAGATCTCATCTTTGTGTTTGTTTTAATAACTACTATCGGCGCCAGAAGTCAAGGCAGTCGGATGTTTTTTGAATAACTCATGATAGGAACAAGATAGAGACCTGCGATTTCCACCTTTTGAGAGCCTAAACCCAAGATCATAGTTTCATACGCAAAACTTTTTCTAACGAAAAAATTCGAAGATCGGTTTTTCGGAGGATCTCTGGAAAATCACGCTGGTTTTTGAAAACCGTTATAGAAGTATATTGATTTTCTTACATATTCGAAATCAGCATCAAAAACTAAGTCGACTGATACATGTTTTGAATCTTTTCACGAACTTTGATTTTCCTCGAAAAATTCACTCTTGTGGTCCCTCTCAGGGTCGGTCGAAAAGTGAATTCCGTCAAACTGCCATTTGGGCCCTAGAAAGTAGGTTCCAAGCTTGCAGGATGCTGTTATAAACCATCATGAAAAATGAATAATGAACAAAAACAGCGTTTTAATGAAGTTCACTTTTTTGACCGACCCTGAGAGGGACCACAGGGGTGAATTTTTTGAGGAAAACAAAAGTTCGTGAAAAGATTCGAAACATGTATAAGTCGACTTAGTTTTTGATGCTGATTTCGAATATGTAAGAAAATCAATAGACTTCTATAGCGGTTTTCAAAAATCCAGCGTGGTTTTCCAGAAATCCTTTAAAAAAACGATCTTCGAAAATTTTTGCTTATGAAACTTTGATCTTGGGTTTTCGCTCTCAAACGGTGAAAATCGTAGGTCTCTATCTTGTTTCTATCATGAGTTCTTCAAAAAGCATCCGACTTCCGTGACTTCTGGCGACGATCGTAGTAGCGCATAAAATCATCACTACACCTGATAATTTACATATTCGACAAGCGATAGGAACGGAATACTGGTACATGATATAAAACTGGCCGAGTATTTTCAGGTAGTTCTGAGTGATATTTGTACTATTGCAGATTTGGCTATAAATAATAAAATCAGGTTACGAATTAAGGAGCGTAAGCTTATTGTCAGTTCTGATAATTTATTTTACACTTTTACATTATTTGTGGTCAATATTGAAATATGAATAATTACATAGTCTTCGGGTGTAAATAGAAGTCGTCGGTGATTGAAAAGAAATATATTTGCATTTGCATCTACGCAATAAAATTCATAGATTGCAATATTTGATAAGTTTCGATTTTTTTCTGATCGCTATCATAACTTACTCATTCAGGACCTCTTATACATGTTGGCAACAAAACTTCTTATACATCCAAAACCGAATACAACCACGTGTACACACGGACAATCAATATAAAAGTAAGGCTTTCTTTTCCTTAAAAAAACTTGATTTTTGTTTCAAGAAATTGATCGCCACAACAAAAAAAAGTCAGCTGCTGACACCAGTATGGAAAGCATGCACTGAATGATATCAACATCAGATATTTTATGAAATCGCCTATTCATTCTCTCGCAACCGCCACTCACGGTAGTCATACATTAAATATTGTTTTCAAAGCGCGAATTCAATGATGCGTCTCCAACGATATTCGTTTGCATTTCATAGAGAAGTATAATATTGGTTTTTCTATTAAAACTTAGCTAGGCGCACAATATTTTTGATCTGCATAGCGCGAAGAAAACGAAAGAGGTTTTATTCTCTTACTTGTCAGCGACTAGAGTAAGTTCATCTGTATCCGCATTGTATCGTTGTCCAGCTAAGCGAATAAATTTATCACGGGCATGTTCATCAAATTGTAGTTGCGTTAATTTAAACTAAAAAAAATCAATACAGAACATTCAATCATAAAATAATTCTGGAATAAATACATTAAATTTAACGACACGAGCTCGAGAATCTCGTATCGATGGTGTTGAATTAAGATAATCATGGGTTGTTATTTGTATAGGTAAATAATATTCACATGCTTCATCAGAATCTAATTGTTCTGGCCATGGTGTACAATATTCTAATGGAACGATGAATTTGCTAGATTTTTAATTATCAATAGAGTAATATTTACTTTTGATTGCAGCACAATGCTTTTTTATATGATTAGGTGTTAAATGAAAGAAGTTAGGAATTTTCATTAGTTCAGCATTTGCATATTTTTCCAATGGCAAACCTTTATTTTCTTTATCCGACGCGACATAGCCCTGAGTTATAGGCAACGGTACAACACTTTGCTTAAATGTCGTAGCTGTTGGCCAAACATTAGTCCAATCTTGATCTGTTGACATACGCAAATAACGCGGTGGTGGAACCTAATTTAATAATCAAATGATTCTGTTCTTTTTTGATTTATTCATAGAAATATAACTAAAACCTCTTTAAATTTTGGTCTTATACGTTTTTTCATTGAACCATTTCGATTCGTTTTTGATTTTGTTAATTGTAACAGACGAAATTCTCCAATTTGAGCTAAAATTGAACAGGTATAATTGATATTTTCTAAAAATTTAAATCTAAACCTTACATTTCGGTTCAGTTGATCGTTGTGGTTGACGAAAGGTTCTCACAAATAATAGATGATGCGATGGTAATGTCAATTGAAGTCTCAAATATAAGAGAGACATAGCTGTTTGTAATATTTTGATCTAGAAAAGTCTGTTTTTACATGTTCAATAAAGACTATATGGTTCGGCAAGTTACACTGAATAAAAAAATAAATTCTACTATGACTCAGTTCTGCAATCATTCGAATAATGATTATTCAAACGGTAGACCGTACACGTTTCACTGAATAATAATGAGTGCGCATATAAAATTAATTATTCAATGGTTACATGTATGTGTTCTTAGGTATAAGGACACAAGCAATATCAATTATTAAATTTATATGTTTGCTGTGCGCTAGTAAACATTGAGAAGTTGTTGGATTCGCATTCTATAATATCTAGTATAATTTGATAAACAACTTTGCTTATGTTAGATATTGCTCAAACCGAAGTTTTTAAAAAAGAATAACTCTGAGATAATAGACAAAAATAAATCTATCAATCATTAGCGTCAGGGGTATAATTTCATGTTAATTAGAACATCTATTGGATACATCGTCTACCTGAGATCAAAAACGCACTTTTTAAGTTTTGAGTCAACCTATGTTTTTGAAATCATTGGTTGAATAGTAAGAAATTAAGTTAAAAAATTTCAGCAGAGTATATATTATATCGCAACATATTGTTCGTACCAATATGATATCCATCAAAGAAGTGTCAACTATTTTAAATATATTCTAATAAAAAATACAAGCTGTTCGATACAGATTGTTTTTTGTGATGTTCGCATTTATCAACTCTATTGTAGACTATTTAATTAGTGATTTGAAAGACATATGTTTCCTTAAAACTTAAAAAGACTTTACCTAAAGACAAAGAGACTTTGTCTTTACTAAATATGCATACTAGCCAAATTTAATCGAACTAGTGGTAATGCATTTTTATAGATTAGTTGTGAATATAATTGAACCTTTTGTTTCCTCTCTAGTGTTGCTTTCCAAGATTTTCACTATGAATCTTTTCGTCGAATTGTATCAAATCAAATAAAAAAAATATTAGAAATGATTTATTTTTGATCGGTTCTGCAAACAAGGGCTTCTTACTTAAATAAATATTATCATACTCTGATGAATATTTGAAAAAATCATTCAGGTTTTCATCAATCTATTCAATGTCGTACGATCATTTTTTTTTCGTCTACTAGTTAACAATCATGCTTTTTATTGGCTCATAAGACAGCAATATAGAAATCATAGAAATCACAGCACACGAAATGTCTTGACTATCAGAGACATCTAGTCGCTGCTTCGAATAAATGCAAAGTAAATTGTACGCACAGTATTTATTCGATATATATATGGTAACGACGACTCAAAGCACACATTCATAAATACACATATGACAAAATTATCGATGAAAACGTGCCGTTCTTACTCCTGTCATGTACAGGATATCACATAAGAGGTACGTGACAGGTAGAAAAAAAGAATAGAGCAACAAAAATCAGTTACGTTGCTTTGCTGAAAAAGCAAATATATACATTTATCTCAATCATATCTTTACTGACGACTATGTTGTTGTATTCATTTTGTTTTTTGTTAACAAAAAATAATATTGTGCTTAACAGTTTTTACTGAGTAGAAAAGCTGAATGATATTGCATCCATTTTGTTTTTGTTTGTAGATAACAAAATGGGAAATACGAAATCTGTACCGAATGCAGAAAATATGACTACAAATTATGAAAGAACGTCTGATGCAAGTATAATTTCATCAGTAAAATCGTTTACAATAAATAAGAAACAAAAACAGAGTGAATTGTCTGACCGAGATATTCAATTTCTTAGCTCACAAACAGGTATTTATAATTATTTTAAATTAATCTAATCAACAACCGGTAGATATTTCCTAATGACGAAATCTTACTACATTCTGATTTTATCAATGTAAATACTCGGGATTCATCTGTAAGCACATTTGAGATAAATCAATCGAAATAGGCAGTCAATCTATGTTGCTGATAAAAATCCTGAAGATTACAATGAACAAGAATGTGTTAGTTATCAAGCAATAAAAGAACATTTATCGATAAATAACATGCATATGTGTATATGAAAGTTGAATTGTAATAAATTTTTATAAAGGTTTACTTGTTGATAATAAATCATGTACGCATTAATATAGAAGATAGTTTTTGGCAGCCGAAATTAGCACATAAACTATCAAATAAGTTATTGAATGCAGAGATGTAATTAGTCTAGTTGTTTATCAAATGGGCTATTTTAGACAAAACAGGACATATTTGGCGTCGATTCTTTACAAAAGTTATTCTTCTGAATCTAATTTCTTTCTCCAAAGCAGATGATACATCACAGGAAGAAAATTCAGGGTAAACTATAATGTATTAATGATGCCGCTGTAAACAAGATAGCATCATTAAATAAGTTTCTAATAAAAACAATTTTCTAGATATTTTATCAAATTTCAAAGTATCTCTTTTTCTGTCTTTGTATTAACTAGAGGTTCTGGAGGAAAAATCTACGCCCATTGTGATTAGTTGTTGTTTTAATCATGCTATTTTGTTTAGCTTGTACGTATATTCATAGTGTATCGTGCCGGTAACGCTAGTTTGTTTTTTCATAAATAACTCTAGATGAAATATATTGCGTTAATCGTATCAGGATATCTAGATTAACTCAAAATATTTGCAGTATATTAATAAAAGTTGATTGTCTCGAGATATCGCCAGTTTTTATTCTATCCAGTGATGATACAGAACAATCGCTGGTCCGGTAAACTTTATTTACATACGAGTTTGCAATGGAAGAATTATTATTTGTTTAAATCTTTTAGCTCATAAAAGACAAAATATATCTATGAATATTTTTCATAGGTCTTCCTGCAGATGAAGTGCTTGAATGGCATCACAAGTTTTTTCAAGATAATCCAGATGGTCGCCTGGATCGAGTTCAATTCGGTAAATTTTATCGTCTCTTACGCAATGAACCATCTGAGCGTTTAGATCTTATATGTGATCATATTTTTCGTGCATTTGATGTTGATGGCAATGGTTATGTTGAATTTGGAGAATTCCTACTGGGCTTTGCGATAAGCTCGCGTGGTGATCTTCGTTCGCGATTAGATTATGCATTTGAATGTTATGATCTTGATTCAAACGGATATTTAACAGAAGGTAGAGAAAAATAGAAGTATGTATAAGACAAAAAGAAAATTTGTTTTAAATTCTAGACGAAATCGCTCCGGTTCTTCGTGCAATGTATACTTTATTGGGCATACAACATGTTCAAGATTATCCACCTGAAGAAGTCGCAAAAGATCTAATGAACAAATTAGATGTATCAAAAGATGGTCGTGTGACGAAAGATGAATTTATTTACTACCTTATGAAAGATGGAATTTACAGAAATACAGTTAATCCATTTCATTAACTTTATTTTTGTTCAGTTTTCGAGAAAGAATCGCATATATTTTATATCTGAAGTTTTATTTTGAATTCAGTGATAAACTTGTATACAATATTTGTATATCATTATTTAAGAAATTCATAATTATTTATTTATCAATTAACGCATAATAAGTAAAATTGCCGGTTCTGAAAATGTTCTCATCTTCTGTTAAAACAGTCAGTAATTAATAGAAAGGGCAAACTTTTATTTGTGGGCAATACCAAACACTACAACATGAAGTCACAAAAAGATACAAGTCAATAAAAATATAGTTTAAAGTTTCTGATCTTTCATTTTGCTACTAGCGTTAAATATGTTTTTAAAATAAAACAAAGGAAAACATAATAATAGTATTGTTGTACAGGATGAACAATCATAAATAAAGTAGAAGACTACAATAGAATTGTTTTTGAGCAAAACGAAACGTACGCTAGTGTTGTTACATAGGCAAACTGAGGTAAATAAATAACGAGATGGATTACACGAAATTAGAACAAACGTATAGAGAAATAGAATACATATGTATTCATGAATAAATAACCATTTATTCTAATTCAATGATTAAATCATCGCCTTGTATTTGTTGACCGATTTTAACAAATATCTGTTTTACTTTACCTTCAATACTGCTTTTCACTACAGTTTCCATCTAAACATCAGTGAAAATGTAATCAAATCAGATATTTTTTTCTTTTCTTTTCTACATACCTTCATAGCACTTAAAACTGCTACGGTGTCACCTTTCTTGATCATATCACCTGGCTTCGCTTTTACATCTAATACTTGACCGGGCATTGGTGCACCTGAAAAATAAATTCATGAATGTGAATTTAAAATGTATGCCCTTTTTTCTTGGAAGTCTCAGTGTTTTCCTATGTATTATTATTTGTGCTGTGTTTTATTTTATAGTTCCAGAGAATTTTAAGAAGACTTGTCGAAAATTTCCACTGGCAACGAATGCTTCTGCGTACATTTACACATAATACTTGATTAAGATCTTTAATATCTATTGAGATTTTTACTGAAAAACATTTTCTCAAAGGTTTTTTAAAGCTCTGAAAACATGTGCAACTTCGACTCGCTTTTTCATCTAATTTTCATTTCGAAAGATAAAAATACACCGTAATCGAGATGATCATACTTTGCGTCCAAACTTGTTGCCTTCTAGCAGCTAATACTTTTGCTTCTTATGAAAAGGCATCTTCGATAAAACATCAATTCTATTTATCGATGCATAGGCGGCGGAACGTTTTGAATTTAGGGGAGGCTCAATTTTTTTCAACAAACGATAAACAGTCGACATTTGGAGAGAAGATAGACTTTTGAAATTCGTTGTCACAACTTTGATTGAAAATTTTTTCTGTATTGATCCATTTATATGACTGCAGAACAATCGAAAATTGCGTTCCTAGTCAAGAATCACTTAACGCATCCCCAGAGTCCCCACCAATTTTGGATTTTTTAGAAGGGCCTGTCACGAGTTCCCGAGGCGTTAAGGAAAATATGGAAAATTTGTATCGAGACTATCAAAAATCTACGTAAAAATCCGAAAGTGTCTTCGAAAATTTGTAAAATATATCTAAAAACTGAGTGGAGAGTGTCTTAGAAATTCCAAGAAACTTTCTGTTCACTTCTCGAGATTTCTATGGCACTTTCCAGTCATTTCTTAGAAATCCCTTACGAATTTTCGAAGACACTTTCGAATTTTTACGTAGGTTTTTGATAGTCTCGATAGAAAGTTTTCAAAATTTTCTTAACTCGTCGAGTACTCACGACATGAGCTGCCTGGGGATTCATTGGGTGATTCTCGACTAGGGACTACACTATCAAAATTTTTATTTCCTTATCAGCATAGGCGTAAAAAAATCTTAAATTTTGACTAAAGCAAACATATCGTAAGTACAAAAACTATTGTTCAAACCTAGTAACGTCTTTTCTCTAGTTCTTTTGCAATACACTCAGAACAAATGTTCTTCATGTCTAACTGATCTAATTAGATCTAGTTCCCCTTAATGAATATGAGAAATAAAGGCATGATTAAAGCGTTGTTGTGTCATTATTGATCGTAGATGTCTTTATTCCATTTATAACACTGAAGCATTTCTGAGCCGTAGCCGTTGAAGTGAGATTTGTTAACTATAAACGCAATAATTTACAATATTCATGAAACAGATTTCCTAATATATTGTAAGTTAAGTAAACCACGACGAAATCTGTATTCTTTTCAAATATCTGAGCCTCCCCAAGCCTAATGGCTCCGCCGCCTATGGTCTAGTATAAATAGTATGTTATTGTAATAATGGTGAAAAACAATTATATTATTGAAAGATAGTAAAGACAAACAATATTTTTACATAGCTGCAAAACAATGCTAACAGCAAGTGATTTTTTGTCTTTTATTATGATTTCAAATCAGGNTTCTATAGAAAATAAACTTATTTAATTAGTCTACTTAGATGTGTTAATTAATTTATATTTTATGTGTTCTTTCTTGAAAAAAATGAATAATTCTTATGTATATCTTCATAAATTATATTTATTCAACATATTTCTATAGAAGATCGACAGACTATTCTCATTCTAAGATGACAGTCTGAAAACAACAATACTATGTAATAGAGAATACCATGTTTTGTAAACCCAATTTGAGTCGAATCGAATCGAATCGAATCGAATTGATTTTTTTCGTGTTTTTAGCCGAATCGAATCGAATTACAATTTTTAAAAGACCAGAAAACCCGAATCGAATCGAATCACAGTTCTAAAAAGCCGAATCGAATCGAATGGCACTTTTGTCATCGGTTTCGGTCTCTGGTGTCTACAACTGAATCAATTGAGAACAATTAGAAGAAGTATTTTGGTAAATTTTGCAAGAAGGAAAGAAAAAGTTCATCGTATAAAGTCCTGCTAATTTACACCACAGCGTTCCAGTAACTCACATATAGCGTTAAAATAATTCATTTCATATTCTAAAATTTAGTTGAATCTGGAAAAACATTTGTAGCAAATTCATGGAGGTACGACAGGAACCACAAAATACAGTTTAAAATAGAACAGATCTAATTGATAAGAAATAGATTTAATAATTCGCTTACAGGTATGGATAAAAAAAAACTAACATGATGATCAACGAAAGTGAATCCTGGATATCAAATCAATCATTGAATTCATTAACACTATGTATACGAAGATGTCACTAGTTATAAGATCTTTACATACAAGTTTCAGAATAGTTCGATCGCATGATATTTAGCACTACTGATTAAGTCCTATTGCAAACTTATATACAAATCAATAGAAACTGAACGATTGAGCATTTTATTTGTGACAACTAGTGAATAGAATAGTGTGCATTTCGTAAGTGCACATAACGTTTTTGGTATAATCTGAAATGTCTACAAGTACAAAAATTCCCTTTAAATAAATATAGTGAAACTTCCGAGAAAAATACTCTTATAACTTAAAATAGAAGTAAGTCGATGACTTAAGCTGAAAATATTTTATCAAAGATAACTTCCTGTGCAAACTTTTGAACCACTGCATATAAAACTAGAGGACTCTTTTTCTATTTTTTTTATAAATCATTAATTTTATAAAACACGTGTAATGTATTTTTCCCTGCAAATATAAATAGGTTTTTGTCGCAAAAAAGATAAAAAGAACGTAAGTCAAGAAAGAGAAAAATGCTGCAAAAAATATGAAATGAATAATATCACTAGTCTCTCACAAATAATTATTTGCTGTATAAAAATTTCATGGTTGGCTAAATTCTGCACGCATGCTTCAATTATGAAAGCAACTGCACATTTTATATAGCGTCAGATAGATGCACAAGTTAATTAAGATTTGATTCAAAAAGTTCGTATACAGCAATATTCCGTACGAAGTATGCATATTTAGTTTTCAACATTATTATACTTATTCTTTAATTAAAGTGGAAAATCAACAGTAGCTAATAACAACAAAGTACGACGGAATATGAAAAATAAAGTATTGTAATCAAGAGAAAGTAAGTTCAACAATGCTTCAGTTGAAAATAATCAGTATAAGCAAACAATCGTTGTGATCGAAATAGTTCTTACAAGTAAAGGAATTAACCATAATTTAGCAAATGAAAACAAGGATAACCTTGAAATAACTTGCATGTCACCGACAGTGATCACAGTGGAAAATTTTAGGAATTAAAATCGAGATACCAATCACTCTCAATCAATTATTCGTACTCGACAATCGATTGAGAGCGATTGCAATTTCGATTCTAATCGATTAAAATTTTGATTTTGTTGCAGAATAATCCGATTGATAATTTTGATTATAATCAATGAAAATCGATTGATATCGATTCTAATTTCAATTATAATCGATCAGAATTTTGATTATAATCAATGAAAATTGATTAGAAACGTATAATAATCAATTCGCACAATTGAGATTCATGAACGTTAGCTCTTGTAGGACTCACACACGTAAGCTTAGTTATAGATCAAACAAACGTTTTCAAGGACTATCAATCGGGCAGATCAGATGATGTCGTTTAGGCAAACTGAATCTCATCAGCACTGTTACTATGAAGTAGAGAAACTTGCAAAATTTATCATCAGTGCTTTATAAGGAGCTAGTTCACTTTTGAGTCGAAGGACGAAGTCATCGATAAGGATGCTTTTCGAACTTGTCCATAGCTTGCATAGACCCAGGACGGAGACACGAATTTCTCATCAGTTCTACTATTAAGAAGTACCATCAACTCACCAATATCTACTGTTTTTGATACTTTACTTCTTCGCTTAACTATTTAGATTGAATAAGCAAGTCGACTTTGAAAGTTTTTCAGCGATATTTAGAAACGGTAGATGTTGGTGAGTTGATATAATTTTTTAAGAATAGAACTTATGGGAAATTTGCAGCTTTATCCTATGTCTATACAATCTAGGGATAAGTCCAAAAAGCATCCTTATAGATGGCTTCTTCCTTTGACTCAAAAG